TAAAAACTAATGATTTCCGGCAATTCAATTTTGCAAATTCAATTTTACAAATTCGTTGTAACTTCGTGGGTCTACAATGAAAAGGTTCTAAATAGTTTTTATGAAATTGTCCAGGAGAGCAATTATAAAGTTAGAGTTAAAAAATCTTATTTCTTGAAAATAATTTTGTTTAAATTAAAGTTCTAAGGCATGTAGCAACTTTACTTGTGTAGTTTAATTAACATCATTATAATAATAATTTGCTGTATTGGTTGGTATTAAAATCAATAAAATACAAATTATAAATTGGTTCTACAATTAGAACCTTTTCTTATCCTAAAATAAAAAAAGATATATTCAATTACAACTTTTTCATTCTTAACTGTTATTTGTATTATTGTTAGCTGAACCCTTTTCAGAATAATGCTTTCTCATTGCTACCAACCTTCTAACACAAAACAATGTAATAATAATTATGAAACATCGAAATCTGTAAAATTCTGTTGAATAGGTAGGAATAAAGTAAATGCAATTAATAATTATTCGGTATCTAATGCTTAGTGCTTAGTATAATATTTATTAATTTATACTATTTTATAGATTGTACCTAATTTATAGATTGTATTATTTACTTATATAAGTAAGTCTGAAGAGAGAATGTAGTACATTTTGATCTTTAGTTGTATCTAATATTATAATTTCATTGACCCTTTCACTGCCAAGTTTAGGTACCTACCTAAATTTGTAACAATTAGATAATTTTAAAAACAACTCAGAGTATGTGGGAAGGTTCTTACTAGTTCTGAATAAAGCTAGAATGTTAATTGCTTTAGAATATTTCAATGTATTTACATAAATGTTCATAATACAGAGTAGGTATGCGAATAGGCACTAACCTAACCTATACGGCTATACGTCACATAAATATAGTTTTACACAAACGATTAAACAAATAAAAGACAATAAAAATGCAATCTGTTATAAAAAAAAATATTTTGAATGACTGATGGCTAGAATTAATTATTTAAACATAAAAAACTAGACAGTATAAAAATGGTTTTGATTTATAAATTCAGGCATAATTTGAATACAACTTTTTGTATTAAAATTGTTAAAATGTATTGATGCAAGTTTATTGTATTACAATTGTAAGAGCCAGTCATTAAAGATTGAACTAAGTTATTGTTTGGTTGTATTAGTTATAAATTAATTTTCTTAAAAACATTTTCAGACAATATTATTAATTTTAAAAAATGAAACCAAAAATAATAATCCTTTCAAATTAAGTACTTATTCATATTTTTAATTATTCGCTCAGTTACTAATAAATGTTTTGAACTTAAAAAAATGCATTTGTATGAACGGCAAAAATTGTGTATAAAGCATCAGCGAAAGCATCAACATACATTTGTATTGTTAACATATCTAGTATATTTTAGTGTATGATTACGGTTGATATTTTTCTCAATCTGTGAAAGTGCATTATCTACTTCTTAGATGCACAAGTGGCCTGGAACTGAATACTTCATTGTAACTGATTTTGTTCTGGGATTTTTCAACATAAACCCAATAATAGCCGTTGACATTATCTAATTTCGGTTTTGTGGCACACAGCTATCAGACCACGTAACAATGTTTAGTATACCCAAATTATTATCAACAATATGTTGTAATATGTTAATAAACACACTTGCAAGGTCATTACCCGATCTACCAATAATTGTTTCATTCCAAATAGCACAATATATAGTATTGGAAGTAGACAAATGAGTTGTAAGGTTATAAACATTTAATTTTTTATTATAAAACTCTGGGCCGACATTTGTTTTTGGAAGTGTGATTACATTTTGTAAGTCAAAATAAACAACTACATTTTCTTGATCACATCTAATTTGGTCTTCAGAGTCTCAAAGTATCTTTTTTAAGTATATGTTCTTCATACTCACATTGTTCATTACTTGATAATTTAAATTCTTCACATGTAGCACATAAATCATTTTTAGGACGGAAAAATCAATGGTTGAAATTACAATTCAATAATGATCTATTCAGGTGAGCTTTTACCGGCGTTCTAGGGTTCTCATCTACAAAGCATTTATTTGTATATATATATTGTACATTTTTGATATGTGCAACGCAGAATCTAAATATTGCTTTTTTGTATCATGTCGGCAATAATGTGATTCAACAGTAGAAAAACAGATATATGGTCTATGGTATATTGTTTGTAATCTACTTAAATATGAATAGTTGTATTCTTGCGTCGCTTTTAATAAGGTGGAGTTAATGATGGTAGGTTCATTGATGAATGACAATTATAAATAACCTTTTGGCATACATATAATGTGTTTAAGAAAAATTGTTTGCAGACTCTAATCAATAATGTATCAGTTTTGTAGAAATTATACAGGTAAGATTATTTTTCACTTTTTGAAGTAATTAAGGATTTTTAGTTAAGTATAAATCCAAGTTTATCTTTTCTGCTGAGACTATAATATAAATCGTGAATACTTATTATTTTATCTCAATCAAAATTAACTAAACAACTATATGCACAAAACCTTAGAAAGTTTACAATTTTGGCTTGAATTATTTTGCCTGTCTTAGATACATGATCAAGTCGTTTTTCAGTAAAATCTTTATTGATTGATTGTTTCCAATTTTTGGGATTTCTTTGGTTTTTTCTGGTCAACTTTTTATCCATTTTGATAAGTGCCTTTTCTGATGGTGATTCTTCAGAAGATGATTATTCAACTAATCTAAAACATGACAAATTATTTTAATTTGGTTATTAAATTACAATTTGATGTATTTACTATTTCATATTATAATTACTAAAAGACATAGATTATTAAATGTAATTTGGGTATTCTTAGGTATAGCATGTACTCTGTACAACATGTTTGCTTTTATGCAATACACTTTTAGTCTACTTCCATAAGGTTAATATAAAAATTAATATAATAGTAAAACATATTACAATATTATAACAAAATATACAATAATAAATTATTCAGTGAAAGTTAGTATAATATATTTAGTACATCTGATGTATAAACATAAAACATTAAGGTATATCTAGTACCTACTCCATTATTATTTTGTTATTAATACATGCAGTCTTTCAATAATTATATATTTATCTGATACTAATATTATGAAATGTTTTTATTTTGTATATTTCATATTCCCATTATCATATTGAAGTATACTAATCATAAGAACATAACAAAAAAACACAAAACACATGATTTTATAGCAAATATTATAGGAAGGCACTGGAAGAATTATTTTAGGTTAAATTGGAACTATGTTTTATTAAAATAAATTATTATTGTAGTGTAACATTACCTTGACATGTTTGTTGAATTTTCATCAATTAAACCATAAGAGATGTGAGTATGTACTTTCTGAGGAGTTTTTTAGAGTCCATCCAATCTTTTAACTCATTTATACTTTCAATATTATTTTGTGAATCTCTAGACTCTTGAAGTAAGCTAGGAGTACAAAAACAAAAACATTTTTAAGCATAATTTAATTACATAAAAATTAATACAAGTAAAAAAATTGATTTTTGTAATAGAAATATTGAAATTTATACCGCTGTTGAAATAATAACAAAATATACCAATTTTTGTTACAGATGAATTAAATAAATTATTATAGTTTAACGTTACTTTAAAATATTTGTTGAATGATCTTCAATTAAATCATTAGAATTTTGAGAATGTACTTTTTGAGGAAATTCACTTTTACAGCCCATCCAATCTTTTAATTCATTTATATTTTCAATATCATTTTGTGAATCTCCAGAGGCTTGAGGTAAACTAGGAATGCAAAAATAAAACAATTTTTAAGCAAACTATTTAAATATTAATACAAGCCAAAAAAGGTGCTCTGCTGTACAGTAGGTTACAAGTGGGTCACTATATAATGGATGGTATTAAATTTGAATTCAATGATATAATATCATTGTATAAGAAAAACCGTTCTGAGCGGAGACGATATGTCAGTCTAGGTTTAAGACATTTTATATACATATAAATACCATATTTAAAAAAAATATTGACCTATAATAGGTACCTACAATAAATTCCAAATTAATCATATCACAAAATCCATTAGGTACTTATAACGCGTTATACACATAGATAATAAATACATGGACGCCTCAAATTCATTACGTATTAGTTTTGCGGTCCAACATAGATAAGAAATTGAGGCAATTTGTTTACATTTTTTGTTGACAGTCGATACTCCAAATAGATATACTTTATTTGGCCTCAATTATTCCCCTGGAAGACCGCTGATAAGACCATTATGTCCTATCCATATCTTTATTATCTATGGTTATACATCAACAACAAACCGTGATACTATAATAGATATATAATAGTATACTTTAAAAGGTTCAATTACCCACGAATAATATTATACAATCACAAAAAAATTACTAAAATAGTTATTCTAGGTTTTTTAATTTGTAATTTCGTAAAAATTTGAACTTAAAATGACTATAAAAATAAACTGTGCTTGTGAATTTTTAGATTTTTTGGTAACAGAATTAATTACTTACATGAAATCTTGTTTTAAATTTTCAATCCTTAGATATAAAAGTTGAACATTTTATAAATCATCATCTCAGGCAGTACATAATCATTAAATGATTTTTTAGTCCTCTTGTATACAAATGATGACAAATACCAGGTCTTACACAACCTGCTCTACCCCGACGTTGTCTACAATTAGCTTAGCTCACCCATTCTTCATTAAGAGGTCCACTGTTATTCTCTGCATCCAATAATTTTAATTTCATCCGGCCATTATGAATAACATAAACTATATCTTTTAAGGTAACTGAAGCCTTTGCTATGTTTGTGGATAATATGATCTTACGAACACCTATTATAATGCTAACATTAGACAAAAATGCATTTAAAAATTTTAATATTTAATGCTTACCCCGAGAAAAAAACAGATTTTTGAGATACAGGTAGGTAACATGGAATGCATGTCAGTATTTACCGAGCTACAAAATAAAAAAATAATATTTATAAACAGATATCAACATTTTTATGAAATTCTACATTTATACAATATACTTTACATGTATTTCCAAAGCCTTTATCTTTTAAAATTTTAGTCAGTTTTGATATTTGATCCCATCCAGAAAGAAACACAAGTATTGCACCATCATCTTTATTATTACAAATGTAATATATGAGTTCTAAAACCAATTTGTCATCTGTATCTTTAGACAATGGATTTTCCAACCAATTCAATATTGCAAAAGGATATTCTTTGAATCTCTTCATTTCGCTACAAAAGATTTTATTATTTGAATATTAACATTGATTATTTGTTAACAATATTATATACATAAATATATCTTAATATATCTTTTACATGCATACTTACTTCACATAAGGAATTACAAATTCAGTGAATGAATCACCAGGTTTAATTTTGCAAGATCTTTGTGTTGGTTTTTGAGGAAAATATCTAAACCTGTATTCAGCAGAAATGTATAAAATTATTAGATATATTTAGCAATGATAAAAAAATGTGACAAACCTATTTAATGTATAAATGTCTTCAAGGATGAGTTCTTCAACTAGATATGTGAATCCCTGTATATTCAAAGATGGACAGTCATTGTAATACTTGGAAAATGCTGCAGCATTTAATGTTGGGCTCATAATATAACTTTAATATCAGGTCTCTGGATTAACAATACAAAAAAAAAAATTAGTACAATTTAAATAAAATACTGTGCATAACAATAAACATAATATGCATGTAATTACAACAGTATGATGCTCTCGAGAATAGTTAATGTAAAATCACTAATTTTGTCACGTTCATGTATTTCATCAATGATAATATGTGAGTAATAATTTAAAGCTGAATCTCTTTGGAAATGTTGAAGTAAAATACCAGTAGTTCAAAATAATATAGATCCATATTCACGAGCCAATTTTCTAAAATATAATACATTTTTTTAGATATTAGTTTCTTCTATTTACTTAATATTATAATCATGCATCTTATAGAGTAAATCATTTATAATAAATTAATATACTTGTACTCTATAGTAGGTATTTCTCAACTTACTATGAAAATTTAGTTAAAAATAAATGTAATATTATATATAAAATAAACAATTCATATTAACCTATGCCAATAATTAAGGTGTACAACTTATTAGTTTGTACCTATATCAAATTTTAGACGTTCACACACTTCAATACAACTTTATTTTGTATCAACTTGCCACTTACTAGCAGTGTCCCAAAATATAGATCCAATTGTCATAACACTCATAACAATCAGATCAATAGTGACGAGTTCTAAAATAACTTTTTGTTATTAAATAAACAAAAATGTAGTTGATAACCGTATAATATCATAATTTTTATCAACTAGGTATGGGGTTTGTTAAAATTACAGTAAATAAAGAAAACTAATAACTTTAATGTAATTCCACCAAAATGTCTTATCCCTAATAGTTAGCTAAAAACGAGTTAAAATGTTTTCAAAATTGTATGGGTACAGAAAATGCAAAAAAAGAACTGTTTTTCCCGATGTATTTGAAAGCACCTGGGAATTTTAAAATTTTACCTGTCATGGTTTTGGCAAACATTTAATATCGGAACTTGAGTAATATACTCATACAAGTGTGTGTGAATTAAACATTATTAAGTTTCTAAGGCTTTTCTGGGTGAATTAAAATCATCGACTGTAACGTCTCCAAATCTTTTATTTGTCTGTTCATTTTCTTCAAACTCATCGTTGGAGAAATAAATATTTCTGAAAATATAAAGTTTTAAAAAATATCTGAATACCTACCTAATTAATATTAAAATAATTCAATATTAAAAGATTTTAACTCTTAGATGATCTACTAGTCGTGCTCAGAGTCGTACCAGTGTGGCTGTAAATTATTAAAATTTATTTTATATTGTTTATTTTTCTTCTCTAAACAGTCATAAGGTTTGGATTATGTTTTGTGACAGAATCTGGCCATAATAATATCTACTATATACTGAGCCTTGTTTATAATTACTGATTGTGAAATGATTACCGCAAATTCTGCTCCAGATAGAAATTGGGTAATCATTTAATGTGACAAATTAGACTGGCACCATATTATTAAGAAATATAATCAGTACAACTAGAAAATAATACTTACAAATGAAAATTAAGGTAATGTGAAGAGGCGATACTTTGGATGTTTTACCAAAAAGAATACACTTATGCATGGCAACTTTTTACTAAAACGTATGAATACAACACTGTAGGAATGTAGGTATAGTAGTCTGTATTTACTATTTCTGTTCAAATTTAAAATACCTAATCGAATGATTCAAAATTCAAATGATTCAACTAAAGTCGGCGAACAATAAAAAAATATTATGTTGTTTGATAACAATTATTACTATCTTAGTGTTATCACTACAGTTGTAGAAGTAATCTGTGGTATTTATAGAGTTAATAAATTTGAATTAAAAAACTTATATTATTCTGTTTTAATGTTTTGTTAAGACGTTGATGTGATAATGTGATATTACCTACTTAGTAGGTACTTATTACTTATTGGCTTGGTTACTGGTTATTACTTCAGTAATTCAGACAGTCTGTAATTAAAAATATATTTACAAGAATACTTCCACCTTCCTACCCAGTAAACCATCCAGACACACTTTCTTGTTCGCAAAGGTGTGATAAGCCATATTTCATAATATGTTTATAATTGTTTGCTTATTATAAGATTTTATTAATATAATTTTATTTTTTTGTAATTTTTTTTGAGGTAGAACGTGATGAAGAGCAAAAGAATGAGATTTCTAACCACATATACTTATACCACATAAGTGATGAAAATGTTATTATACAAAATAAAGGTGTTCAGAATAATTCTGATAATATATGTATGACAGATTTTATGAAGTAAGTTAACAGTTTTTTTATCATATAATCTTATATAGTACAATATTGCCATATATTCACTTGGGTGAAGGATGCATATATATCTCCACCCATTGTCTCTTTATTTTTTCAAGTATTGGGACCATTTCTTGTGATAGTTATTTTTTTATACATATGACTTGTCTATCTTATAGAATTATTGCCTTGATTGTAGATAAATAAATTATAAAATTGATTTTAGGTTAAACATCAAATGTCAATCAATACTGTGCTAGTTAACTATATTTCAAAAGATCGGCTCACATCAAGGTAATACAATTTCATATACCACTGCTTTACAGTAGGTACTCTGTCTGGATTTGTATTTCTTCCCCTCCCTTTAATCAAAAAATAACTTGAGATAACTTAAATTGATTTTTTAGATTCTGAGTGAAACGATGAATGTATTGATTTTACAATGATGTGTGTTTTTTTTTTTATTTTTTTAATTTTTATTTTTTTTTTTATTTTTGTGTCTGTCATCACGTTTTAGGACAGTAAAAATGCTTGGATTTTCTTCATCAGTAGCTTTTCTGATAGGAAAGTGAATCTATTTGGTACTTTGGGGGGTCAAAAGTATAAATTTCCCAGTAGTTTTCACAAGCGCCGGGAAAAACAACATAACAATTAAGGAAAACCGGGAATTTTTACGCAAAATTGGTTTTCCAAAAAATCGATTTTGGTTTTTGGTGTAACTCTGAAACAAATGAACGTATATACATGAAATTTTCACTGGTTGTTTATATTTGCATTTTCTATACACGATAACATTTTCAAAATATTTTGATTTATTTTAAACTGTTTAGGGACATTTTCATTTTTCATTTTTTTTTAGTTTTTTTTCTAGAAATATCAATAAAATTTTATTTGTTGGTTAAAAAAACTTGAAAATTTAATAGAAGGCTCCTTGTATATTGTTTCAAAGGCAGATGAAAAATATTAAAAATCGTTAGTCACAGTTTTTTTTATAAGCATTTAAAGTTCAAAAATTGACAAAATATGGAAAAATCACGAAAATTAGCAAATTATTTTGAGTTAAGAATTCGTAAAAATTTTTCTTTTTAAATCTAAGTTTTGAAAATGTAATACAAGATTACTCATAAGTTTGTCTACCTTTATCAATAAAAAAATCTCTACCGGACAGTCAAATTAAATTTTTATGAGCGTTTGTAATTCAAATTTTTACAACATTGGATGTTCACTCGATTTCTCATGTAGCGATTTTCTTATTTTGTTGTTATTCATAAACGAATAACTATAGATACATGAAAATTTCACTGAATGTTTATATTAGCATTTCTTATACACCATAAAATTTTGAAAATATTTTGACTCTTTTTGAGCCGTTTACGGATATTTTCATTTTTCAATTTTTTTAGTTTTTTTTCTATGAATATCAATAAAGTTTTATCTGTTAAGCCAAAATGTGTAAAAATTTAATAGAAGGCTCCTGATATATTGTTACAATATCAGTTGAAAAATATTAAAAATACATAGGCACAATTCTTTTTTATAAGCATTTAAACATCGAATTTTGACAGAATTTTTCAAAATCTCGAAAATTATTAATCATCGTAATTAATAAATTATAAAATGTTCAGTTTTTATAGCTAAGGATTGAAAATTTAAAACAAGGTTCCACGTAAGTAGTTAATTCTCTTACCGAAAAATCTAAAAAATATATAATCACAGTTTATTTTTATTAATCATTTTATGTTCAAATTTGGACGAAAATACATATTAAAAAACCTAGTTATTTTGTTGTGATTATATAATATTATTCGTGGGTACCTACTTGAAACTTCTAAAGTGTACTATTATATATCTATGATAGTATCAGGGTCTGTTATTGATGTTGGTGTATAACGTGTTATAATTACCTAATGGATATTGTGATAATGTGATATGATTAATTTTTAATTTATTATAGGTCAATTTTTTTTTTAATACCATAGATATGTATATAATTTGTCTTAAACCTAGACTGACATACCGTCTTCCCTCAGAATCGTTTTTCTTATACAATGATATTGTATCATTGAATTCAAATTTAATACCATCCATTATACAGTGACCCACTTGTAACCTACTGTACAGCAGAGCGACATCCACTTGCCCACCTTTTTAATTTTGTATTAAATAATTTTAATGTTACATAATAATTGAATACGACTTTTTATTAGTAATTAATTAGTTTCCATGTTTTTTTAATAAACTAATTATTATTTTTTTAGAAATTATGACGATAAATATTTATTTGAAAATAAAGTTATCACTAAATCATCCGTTGAATGTATTTCTATATATCCTGTTGAGATATCAAATAGTAATAGTGATGTTTTATTTATTGGAAATGAAAATAATTTTGATACCAAAAGTACATCAATCTTAATAAAGTAAGTGTTGCTTATTTAACAACAAAATTATGTAATAGTTTTATTGTCACATCCAACCCAGCCAAACAGTCCAACAGTCAACCTTCCGCCGCCAAATTCACAGGGTAGATCCTATGCAGATGTTTCAGGTAACTACACCACACATAGCTCCCCAACAAATCCACCTCCTCTCTCTGAGAATAATGCTCTTTCTAATTTTATAAACGAATTCAAGTCCGTCATTAATCCCCTGATCTCTTTCCTTACCTCCTTAATAACTAAGCTTCTTGCTTCTCAGTAAAATCCCTAATTCATACACTTCAAACTCTCTCCTCATACTCACTTGGAATGCAAACGGACTCAACAGACATAAAAGTGAACTATTAGCCACACTACAAAACAAAAGAATTGACGTTGCACTTATTTCTGAAACCCATTACACCAACACATCTACTCTTAAATTACCCGGCTATAAATGCTTTCACACCTGCCATCTTGACGGCACAGCCCACACTGGAGCAGCATTAATTGTCAAATCCACACTACAATTCTACCCGTTACCTAATTACTCAACCCCTCATATACAAGCCTGTACCATAGCTTTAACACTGAACCATCAACCTATTACAATATCAGCAACATACTGTTCACTACGACACAATATGACACCAAATCAATTTAATTATCTTGGATCAAAATTCATAGTAGGAGGAGACATAAATGCTAAGCATACTCAATGGGGATGCCATACAAACAACCCCCGTGGCAAACTCTTACACCGTATCATAACACTCCACCAATATAAAATACTCTCACTCCCTTCTCCCACGTATTGGCCCAGAAAAAAGCCCGACATACTTAATATTTACATAACAAAAATCTCAAACAGTCTTAACCTCTCCCTCTGTCCCTCACGAATGGTCATATGGATTGGGAACACGTTCAACTTACTCTAGATAAACAAATAAATCTAAAAACTCGTCTTAAATCTCCCTCCGATAACGATGACGCAATTAACTCGTTTACCACCTCCATCCAAACGGCCGCTTGGTCCTCATCTACTCCAATATCACCAAAATCCACAAATCAAAAGTTCCCTACCTACATTAGACATCTGATTGCTGCCTAGCGTCGTGCCAGAATAATCTGGCAAAGAACCCAGTATCCCTCTGACAAACGCCACTATAATAATCTAACACAAAAACCCTCTCTGAAATTCGAACAGAGAGTTTTAATAAACATCTCTCCTCACTTACCACAAAAGATAACTCGATATGAAAAGCTACAAAAAATATATTACGAACCCCATCACAAATCTGCGTTCTTAAAAATCCAGATGGTCCAAATCGCCTGACAAGCGATGAAGAAAAGGCAGAAATTTTCCTCGAACATCTCTCATCGACTTTTAAACCACACTTCTCATTAGTCAACCCCATCAAAGTTGACGAAATAAACACATCCCTTGACTTCCCTTGCCTATGACAATGCCACCCAAACATATATCTCCTCATGAAGTTGCATACCTAATTAATAAATCGCAGAAACACAAATCTCCTGGCTACGATTTTATCACTTCCGAAGTTGTAGCTCACCTCCCAAATAAGGCGTTACTGTTCCTCACTTGTATTTACAATTCTATGATAAGGCTCACCTACTTTCCTTTACTATGGTAATATTCAATAATAATAATGATCCATAAGCCAGGCAAACCAACAGAAATGACTCAATCATACAGACCAATCAGTCTCTTACCTTATTTCTCAAAAATTTTCGAAAAACTGATTCTTAAACGTATCCTACCTATCATAGAAAAATCCTTTCCAATACTCAATTCGGGTATAGACATAATCATTCCACAATACACCAGATCCACCGCCTTGTAGATAAGATCTCCTTTTCTCTTGAAAAAAAGCTCATATGCACAGGAGTGTTCCTGGACGTTGAGCAGGCATTTGATCGAGTTTGGCACCAAGGGCTCCTTCATAAAATTAAAGCAATTTTCCCTCCATACTTGTATCTACTTATAAAATCATACCTTAGCGATCGCCACTTCTCTGTGCGCTCAGGAACAATTTTTTCAAATATTTCTAAAATAGAAGCTGGTGTCCCGCAAGGTGCAGTTATTGCACCACTCCTTTTTAACATCTACACCGCGGATCAACCCACTACTCAAAACACAATAGTAGCCGACTTTGCGGACGACAAAGGGCTACTTGCATGCCACGCTGACCCATAAATAGTCGCCTCATTTATGCAAACCCATCTTGATCTATTAACCTCATGGTACGCAGAATGGGGCCTAAAATTGAACCAAACGAAATCGCTTCACTCTACCTTTACATTACGCCCCAGAGACAGTCCACAATTACTCCTCAATAATCAACCCCTACCCTACTCTCAAAATGTCAAATACCTTGGACTAACCCTAGACCGCCGGCTTACATGGGCCCCTCATATACGCTCCAAACGTTTAACGTTTAACGATCGTAGCCGCCAACTAAGACACCCACTGACCTCCAAACATATTCATCAGTCATCTGAATAATAAACTCCTTATATACAAAATGCTACTAAAACCAATATGAGTCTATGGTATACAGCTCTGGGGATCAGCAAAGCCTACTAACATCAATAGAATACAAACTTATCAATCTGAAACTCTAAGACAAATGACTAAAGAACCATATTTTGTTTCCAACCACACACTACATCACGACCTCTCTATACCCTTTGTTGCAGGTGTGGCTAAAACACATTACAAAAGATTTCACAACCGTCTTTTAAACCATAGAAACCCACTCATCCATGATATTTCTTCCTTGACTATCCCCAGAAATCCTCCTAAACGTCTAAAGCGCAAATGGTGTAAAAACCTACTGACTAATTTAATTTCTTTAATAGGTACTCATGTTTTTTTTCTCTTTAACGTAGTACCTCCAATGGAAGACTTCTACGATCTGTTGTATCTACTTTGTTACTTTTATTATTCATCAATTGTTCTTATTGTTCTTTGTGTAACAGATTAAATAAAACATTTAATAAACAAAAATAAAAATAGTTTTATTTATTTTTTTAATGTAGGTACAGTAGATTCTTAATATGTTGAACGTCGCTATCTCGAATTTTGCGTTATCTCGAACTACTTTGAATTCCCCTTGAAACTACTATTACACTTAATAGTGTTTTGCTCTCGATAACTCGATATAAAATTAATCGTTTTTCGTTATCTCGAGTTCACAAATAGTATTTTTGTTACGGTTAACATAGGAATTGTCATTTCAGTATTTTAATTATTCAAATTTTAGTCTATTCTAGTCATTCGTATTATTTATTATTCATATACATTATACAACATACATATTTTATATTAGTTTTTTTATTATTCAAATTATGTATTTTAGGCATTCGTATTATTTATTATTCATATAAATTATACAACATACATTTATATTAGTTTTTTTATTTTTTTAATAAAACTCGATATCTCGAAGTTTTCGATATCTCGAACTTTTTTCTGTTCCCCTTAAGATTTGACATAACGAGAATCTACTGTATTTGGTTCAATACATATTGATACGATATACATACACTATTGGTAATAATTAAATTATATATTTTCAGTGCTAATAATAATTATGTTTTTGAAAATAATGAAAGTATTGAGGATCTACTTAATTATTTCGATCCTCCATTTTCACCTACTAGTGTTACAATTTTTAACCATCATGAAAACCAGAAGATTATTGTTGTCAGTCCCACTACATATTTGTTAAAGTGTGTACTTTAGATAAATATTTTGCAATTGTTTTTATTTATTATTTTAACTAGCTGATCCCGTGCACTTCGTTTCCCGTTAAATGTACCAACTCTATATGACTCAAACATTGTTCAATGCGTTATTTAATATTCAGTGTATGATGTTCTAGATTTATCTTAACTTTTCTGTTGCCCGGAATAAAAATTCTGTTTCGCAGCAGTATATTATCAGGTAGGCAATTTACCTGTGGTAGATCGCGGACCCCGTGCTGTTTGTACGAGGTGTGATCAAAAAATACCGGGATTTTTTTTTTTTCATTTATTTAAATGTACAAATAATATTTCAAATATTAGTCTCCTTCAAAGTATTCACCGCCCGATGTTATACACTTGTCCCATCTCTCCTGCCACTTTTTGAAGCAGTGTTGGAAGTCTTCAACTTTAAGTTGTTTGAGTTGATCCACCGCATTCTTTTTTATTGTTTCAATATCATCAAATCTTTGTCCTTTGAGGTCAGTTTTAATTTTTGGAAATAAAAAAAAATCACAAGGGGCGAGGTCTGGCGAGTAAGGGGGATGAGGTACAACTGGAATTTGTTTATCAGCTAGAAACTCACGGATTGATAAGGCAGAATGAGCAGGCGCGTTGTCGTGGTGTAACAACCACGATCGATTTTGGAATTGATCTGGACGTTTCTTACGGATTTTTTCTCGTAATTTAATTAAAACTTCTTTGTAGTAAGTCTGATTAACCGTTTGACCAGTTGGAACAAATTCGTAATAAATAAGGCCTTTAATATCGAAAAAAGTAATCAACATGGTCTTCACGTTAGAACGAACTTGTCGAGCTTTTTTGGGTCTTGGTGAAGTTACTGATTTCCATTGTGATGACTGTCGTTTAGTTTCTATGTCATAACCATAGACCCAAGTTTCATCACCAGTTATTACATTTTTAATGAACCCTGGGTCATTTTGTGTTCGTTCTTTCAAATTTTGACAAACTTCAATTCGATGATTTTTTTGATCTTGAGACAACAATTTTGGGACCATTTTTGCACAGACTCGTCTCATGCCTAAATCTTCAGTCAAAATAGTTTGACATGATCCAAAAGAAATGTTACACTCAGTAGAAAGTTCTCTTATCGTCATTCGTCGATCTGATCGAATAATTTTTCGTACTTTTGCCACCATTTCCACATTTCTTGATGTTGAAGGTCGTCCAGCACGAGAGTCATCATTAATGTCTTCACGACCCTCAATAAACCTTTTATGCCATTCAAATGTTTTAGACCGGCTCATCGCTTCATCTTCAAATGCTTTTTTAATCATTTCAAAAGTTTCAGTCGCTGATTTACCGAGTTTAACGCAAAATTTAATGCAAACACGCTGCTCGAGTTTATTCGACATGACAAAAACGGCACACACATTAAAAGTATCTGATTTCAATGAATTTTCGTTCATTACTAACAGTTAATATTAACTCATGGCTTGAATAACGTAATTGAGGTTTATCTCTATTTTTATTTGATGTGTGTATATTCCCCATTCGATTATTTTTAGCGCAGATATAATTTTAGTCCCGGTATTTTTTGATCACACCTCGTACGTAAGTGTATGATTCAACTCAAAAAGTACCAAAGTTATACCAAGTTTGACGTTTTGACTTAATTCCACATACCTATAAATCCTAACTTGACCTCACCGTACTAAAATCCGATGAATAAAAAAAACCAAATTTAACCCTTTTTAAATTAGCATCATTCATTTATATATAAGATATATTGACAAAAAATAATAATACAAATCAACAAACATGCCTGATTAACCAATAGCAACCAATATAATATAATACACCATAGAGTAAATAAAGACAACGGTATCGAGTTCAAATCCCAGACATCAATAAATAGTTATTGCAGTTTTTCTAATTATTCAGTTGACTTTTTAAAAATTTTCCTTCGTAAAAACCTTCACCTATTAATTACGAACATCTTAAAAAAAATTGAGAAAAATCGGATTGATTGAAAAAGTTCATAGATAACATAAAACGATAATGTTTCAAAATAAAATGAATAATGTGCCAACTATTATATTTGTTTACTCTAAATTTATAAGTGTCTATAATAAAAAATGTATATCAACCAGAATATAAAAATATATTTTTTTTTCGATTTTTATTATTATTTATATTTATATTTTTATCTGCTAGAGGGCGCCACCGGTGTAACTCAGTTGTTGTCTCTAAATCTTTAACTAACATGAGTTAGGTCCATAATTTATGCTATAAACCCGCTCACCGACATCCTCTATCATTTAAAAAAATTTGAGCAAAATCGGCCAAGCCGTTCTCAACTGATGCTATTTCTAATTTTTTGTCTCCATTTTTATATATAAGATTATAATTTAGAATATTTTGTAATACTATAAATATTTTTTTTTGAGTTCAGTTGAGGACACTAATTATGATATTGTGGCTAATGACTTAAATTCATTAAACAATATTTCTCCATCAGCAGCTATTTACACTAACCATGATAGTAATAATTATCCCACTAGTAGTCACGGTGAACAAAATAGACCTGTTCTTAAAAAGTTTGTACCATATTAATTATTATTTAGTAATTCTATAATAACATATTCTTAAAAATATTATTTCTAATCACTTCGATTTTCAACTTCAGTATCTTGTTCGATTGGAAAGTGAATATCGTTGATGAATTGGGGAAGAAAAAATTTAAAATTCTCAGTAATTTTCAAAAGTGCCAAGAAAAACGTAAGAAAAATTAATTAAAAACGGGAAATTTTTCGCAAAATCGACTTTTCACAAAATTGAATTTTGTTTTTGGTGTAACTTTAAAACAAATAACCTTAGATACATGGAATTTTCACTGGTTGTTTATATATGCATTTTATATACATGATAACATTTTCAAAATATTATAATTTATTTTGAACTGTTTGGGGATATTTTAATTTTCCATTTTTTTTTTAGTTTTTTTCAAAAAATATTAATAAAATTTTATTTGTTGGTTAATAAAACTTGAAAATTTAATAGAAGGCTCCTAGTATATTGTTTCAAAGGCAGATGAAAAATATTAAAAATCCTTAGTGACAGTTTTTTTTTACAAGCATTTAAAGTTCAAAAATTGACAAAATATTTAAAAATCAAGAAAATTAGCAAATTATTTAGAGTTAAGAAATCTTAAAAATTTTTCTTTTTAAATCTAAGATTTTAAAATGTAATACAAGTTTCCTTATAAAATTTTCTACATTTATCAAAAACAAAATGTCTATAAGAAAGTCAAATTAAATTTTTATGACCATTTGAAATTCAAATTTTTACAACATGGATATTCACTCGATTTGTCATGTAGTGAATTCCTTATTTGGTTGTAATTCAAAAACGAATGGCTGTAGATACATGAAAATTTCACTGAATATCTATATTACCATTTCCTATACACTATACAATTTTGAAAATATTTCAACTCATTTTGAGCTGTTTACGGATATTTTCGGTTTTCAATTTTTTAGTTTTTTTTTCTATAAATATCAATAAAGTTATATCTGTTGGGCCAAGATATGTAAAAATTTAGTACAAGGCTCCTGATATTGTTAAAATACCGATTGAAAAATATTAAAAATACAAAGGCACAATTTTTTTTTATAATGAGTGAAAGATCGAATTTTGACAAAATGTATCAAATTTAAAATTGAATAATTATTTTGTAGTTAAAAATTTATAAAATGTTCAACTTTTATATCTAAGGATTGAAAATTTAAAACAAGATTCTATGTAAGTAGTTAATTCTGTTACAAAAAATCTAAAAAATACACAATCACAGTTTACTTTTATAGTCATTTTAAGTTCAAATTTGGATGGAAGTAGGTAAAATATATTAAAATCAATATTAACGATTTTAGTTTTTTGTTGTAATTTAAAAATATTATTCGGGGATATATGAAACTGAAAAATCAAAAAATCATAATAGTATGGCCTATCCATACAATCTACCATAGTATAATTAATAAGAAGTATGCTCTAATGCTCCATAATAAGACTGTGCATATTTTTTTTTATTCCTATTGATATGTATATAATACCTATGTCTTAAACTTGGTACCTCGAAAAAATAACCCCGGAAAAAATAACCCCGAAAAAAAAAACCCCGAAAAAATAACCACCGACAAAATAACCCCATGGGCCATAATATGAGATTTTGCAAATTAATCTCAAATCAATACAAAATGTATAACATACCTATTGGCTATTACCTACGTACAATATTAATTTTGGATTCAATTATAAATTATTGTATATACCCACGATAAAAACAATTCAGAGCTCTACATCAGAACTCTACATCATAATATACGAATTGAAAAATATAGTTAATTTTTTACTGTTCTTTACTGTTTACTTGAAAAAAAAAATCAATCTATTTACGAAATAATATTCAAAGCTATTTTATCAGTCGGCGAAAAGAACAATCTTTTTCCAGATCCACAAAATATAAAAATAGACTTCAAAAAGGCAGTAATAAATGCAGCAAAAATGTATTAGGTGAACATTTAATAATAAACGGATGTTTCTATCACCTATGCCTGAGTACTCACAGAAAATTGGCAGAATTAGGATTAAAAATAAATACCAAGAAGATTATGATTTTAATGAATTCTGTGGTACCTATGTTAGATGGCTTGGCTTTTTTTACCACTAAATAGGTTACAAGAAGGTGTTGAATATTTAAAATTAATTATTCCTCTTGGTGCCGAGGAGTTATTTCAATATTTTGACGAAACCCACGTGAGTGGAACAATACGTCGAATAAATAAATTTTTATTATAGGGTTATTTTTTCCGTGGTTATTTTTTTGGAAAATCCTTAAACCTAGACTGACATGCCACATACCGTCTCCGCTCAGAATCGTTTTTCTCATACAATGATATTATTTCATTGAGTTCAAATTTAATACCATCCATTATACAGTGACCCACTTTTAACCTACTGTACAGCAGAGCATCTTTTTTATTTTGTTTACAACGACACTATTAGCCACTAGCCTACATTATTTTTACCAACTCAAAATTATATAAGAAGTGTTTATATAGTATTTAAGTTATTATTAATAAATAATAATATATTATTATTTCAGTAGGTATTGATAATCAATATCTAAAGATATTATATCTACTTAATCTACATACTATATTATGATATTACATTACTAAATAGTAAATATATAATATTAACCGCCATAAACGGAAAACAAAGAAATTTTTTTAGACAAATAATATTATATACTCTATAGGTAGATACAGTATGATGACACGTGTGTTTATTATAATAGGTACCTATTATAGAGTATTTTATTCTTATCTTGTGCTTTATGCTCTAATGGAGACACTTGTAAATATTTATATAATAGGTTGTAGAGATATTGTATCCTTATCTTGTGCATGGCATCATAATATTGTTTAAATAATATTCCTTTTGATTTTCAGTTTACGTCATTACTCGGTAATATAAATAGGTACGTATTGGGCACGTGACTTAGGTACATATTACACATAAACTATAAGCTTAAATGTACATTCCATACCACTATATAGATTATAATAGCAGTAGGTAGGTCGTAGCCGGTATAACGAACGTCTTGGTCTTGCACTTCGCGTTACTATCATCAGTTGGCGCCCGGCACTCCCTCTCGTACGTCATACCTACCTACCGACTATAGCGACTATACAGTCTAGTACCAGCCATCACCATCCTACCATACTAATCTCATGATTCGCGTCTGCATAGTGCATACTCAAAAATAAAAACCAGCTTGTCCAGTTAAATACGTTATTCTAAAGAATTTAATATTGTTATATTAATATTTTCTTTGACCTAAACACCTGATGCAGTAGGAGTCATATAAGAAGCGAAGTGCCTATACTTCAGTAAGGGCGTGAAGTATTTAGTAGCTATTATAATTTGATTTTGTGCACAAGCAAATCAGTGTACCTACTACATAGCTTTACAAGTAAGTACGTCAATTAATCACGAGTTTTAACCAAAGCTGGGCAAGTTGATCATTTTTTTCAACTAGTTGAAGTTATGTTACTTTAATAAAAAAACTAACTACTTTAGAATATAAGTAAGTTTCTGAAACTGTCCAAATTTCTAACTTAGTTAGTTAGAAGTTAGTTTGGTGAAAATAATAACTTAAGTTAGAGTAGAAGTTTTTTTTTTTTTTTTTAAAAATGGCGTTTATTGAAAATTTACAATCTGTACATTATATACAATAAGTAAATATGATAAGTATAGCTAAAAACAAAAACAATGGCTTTGAATGACGTGTAGGAAGGCTCGAAGTCGAGTCACCCTTTTACAGTGAAATTAATTTTTATATGTAATAATGTATAAATGTGTTTTATTGATTAAGAAGATCTCTGCACCAGTTTCGTTTGAGACGTCTTGTGGGGTTGTCAGGAAGCATTTTTGAGGCCAGTTGTGAAATGAGGTGGTTGTGGTTCATATGGAGTTTCCCATGAAACCTTTTGTAAAAATTAGTGGCTGTGTCGTGGATGGTTTTGATTTGGAGTTCATCGTGGAGTAATTTGTTCGTTACGTACCAGGGAGCTTTAGCAATGATACGGAGACAGATTGATAGAGTAGAAGTTAGAAGTTAAATAAATAAATAATAAATAGAAAAAAAAAATACGCAATTTCATAATTATTTGATCCCTATAATTATTAGTTATTACTATAGGAAAATGTAATTATTTTAACATTAGGTATACAGACGGCAGATTTATCATTGAAAGTCAGCAATATTCACTCTAAACCCCTCTAAAAATTAACTCTAGGATCGCCCTTGATTAATAATTTATATGAGCCAATAATCTATATAGGCATATATCCATTATGTCATGATTGAGGAACACCTTTTGGAATTTTGGAATGAAAAAAATAATAATAATAACTAGTTAGATTAGACTATTTTAGTATTTTACACATTAAATTCAAATAGTTAAGTTACAAAGTTAATATAAATTAAAACTTAACTTTAACTTTCTAACTAGTTAGTGCCCAGCTTTGGTTTTAACCATATGATTATAATATCACTAATATCATTGCTCCCTATATTATAGTTTCCTAATATAGTAATATCCCATTTGCATGCACGACTATACCTTATGGCTTGTAAAAATTGTTTTAAAAATTGTAATTAGGTACCTTACACAAAAATAAAAATAAATAGTTAAGACGCCCACCGGCGCTGGTTCGATACCTCTTCCGCGGGCGGCATTTTTCTTCGGACAAGTGCCGCCATACCCCACCCGGACATGGCAGATACCTACGGTTGCCCACTTGAAAAATCTGCCAAAAACAACACACACGTGTTTCACCTTACAGTTTACTCCCCACAGTTTAAAAAAAAACCACCCAATGGCCTAAGTTATATATAAGTTAATTTACAAATAAATAAAGTACAAAATAAAATTAAGTAATTAATATAAATTATAAATTACATAATATATTAATATTCAATTAAAATTTCGATTTTTTGCCTTTTCCTGCAAAATTAAAAAATAATTTTCATAAATTCAATTTACGTGATCAATTGTTCAACGTTTTCAATACCTATGGATAAAATTCCAATGTCACTAATCTTTCTTCGCACATTGTAGGTTAGGTACCTATACTTGGTAAATGCATTTATAAAATGAACATTCTGCAGTTGCCATAGTTACAGGAAGTGTCAAAAATAGTATTTTTCTACACTTTGCTTATATTTCAGACGAACATTATTATACTCAAATTCTGGAATAGGTACCTACTCGAGCTTAATCAGTGGTGGATCCAGGGAGGGACAAAGGGGACATTTGCCCCCCTCAAAATGAAGCCCTGGATCTGCCACTGTTTCATGGTATAGATTAGGAGTCAACACCTTACGGCACTTTATAGCATTCAATCTGACTATCTGAGATTCTGAGGCTCTTTAGAATACCTATGCATAAACCGCGAGATTTTTTTTCTTTTTATACAATTTATATTTCTATAAAGATTTATTTAATATAGAACTTATTGTCATCTATTATCTATATAATATATTTTATAATAATTGTACCTACCCTAATAATTAAACGTATAGGATAAAATAGAATAATTTCGACTAAACAACTAACTTACTTGAGAATTTTCAATTTTAAAATGTACAGTCTTCTAAATAATGGATGAAAATAGTATAATATGTTTTAAACTATTTATTTACCTATTTTAGTATGTCTGATCAAGAACCAATGCAAACCAATTTTTGTGCCGAAAAACGTTTTTCTTCTTCATATGATGCATTAAATACCATGCGAAGGTAATAATTATAACTATACAAGATTTAATAATATAATTATTAGAAATGTTTTATGTTACGAAGACACAGTACTACAGTAGTGTATTGGGAAGGGGCGGATATACCTAGGTGTACCATTCACTCACTTTTCTTTTTTTAGTGTAGGTACATCTATACGGCTATACACTAAAACAGGTAGGTATTAATTAATTTTAGTATGATAAGCTATGACTTAAGGGGCATATCTATAGTCAAAAAATATGTTAATTAAAACGAGACGGAAAAAAAGTGTTTGTGTAAAAACTAATGAGTCGATTTCCTTAGTGTTTGTACTAAAAATAAAATATAATACTGACTACTGTAAATATAAAACAGAATAAAAGTAAGTGTAATGGAGTTAAACGCCAACATATGGTACCTATAGCAAAATTTATTATGGAACAATAAAAATAATGCTATTGCTGGTCCTTGGTAAACGCCGTTTAATTCAAATGGCTTCTGAGCGACATCACCTCAATGTGATGGTAAATCGACTAACGCATGATCTCTGATCACAAAAACCTACTATACTCTGTCCCACGAGAGATCATGCCGCGCACCGACCAAAACTGGTTCCCCTACGCCACACCCTGTCATAGGGTAACCAGTTTCGACAGTAGGGAGACGCAGGGAGATGCGCAGAACCGGCATGATCTCTCGTGGGACAGAGTATAGGTGTCTAGGTATATAATAATAATAATATTTACTATATGTTACTACTCACTACTGACTAGACATCACCTTTGATAGGATTTGAGTATGCCAAGATAATATGGTCAGCATCGATTTTTTTAATTTATGATAGCGGCTTATATCATTAGTTTAAATGGTATTGTTACGTAGGTACCTATCTATTTGTTGTATAATATTTTATTCATTAACACATTATAATTACTTTCAGAAAAAGTCAGTTTTGCGATGTGACATTTGTAGTTGGAGAAAAAAAAATGGCAGCTCACAAAGTTATACTGGCTTCTCACAGTAATTATTTTGATAAAATGTTTACTGGAAATTTCAAAGATACTAATTGGTTGGAGTTAAAAAATGTAGAGATCACTCCTGATTCACTTGAGCTATTATTGGATTTTCTATATACATCACAACTAACAATAAATGATTCTAATGTGCAGGTAACTTATGTAGTAATATTAGAATAATATATGTTAGTTGTATAATTAGTTTTTAATATTTTGTATAAAACATATAGGTACCTATAGGTACATTGGCTACATTTATTATGTATATTGTAGGTGTATGTACCTATAGGCGTTTTACAAAACAGTTATTACTTATTTTAAACACCAAAATTTCTATTTAGTTCTTAGAGGTACTTAGTACAGATAACAAAATGTTTATAATTTTAATATTAGGATTTATTGATAGCATCAAACTTTTTATTGCTCAACGATGTGAAAAAGGAATGTTTAAATTATATAGAACAAACAATTGATATTGAAAACTATATGACTATAAAATGTATTGCCGATAAAAATAAAATAAGAGAACTACATGAATTATTTTTGTCATATATACTAAAAAATTATAAGTAAGTTTAATTTAAATCTTATTTTAAATTACTATGATTATATTGTGATTAATTCATATTTAATTACCTTATTTTGAACCCTGCGTATACAAATGTATTGATTTTACAATTACCTATGTATTTTTTTTCTATCTGTCCTCAACTTTTCGGGTAGAAAAAATGCTCAAATTTTCTACTTCAGCATCTATTCTGATAGAAAGGAGTTCCTAGTTGATGCATTCCAGACGTAAAATTTGAAAATTCCTAGTAGTTTTCGAAAGCGTTTGGAAAAACAAAATAAAATGAAGGAAAAGTAATTTTTATGCAAAACCGATTTTAAATTTTCGTACTTAACACAATTTGAAATATCAATCAAATATTCCACATGACCTCATAAGTTATTCTACCTTAAACAAAAAAAAAGTTTACAGAAAAGTAACATTAATTTTTTATGAGAGTTTGAATTTAAAATTTTTACTATATTGGATTTTCACCGGTAAATTAACAAATTCATCAAATTAATTTTTGAAATTTTGTTTTAATTCATAAAGAATAGTTGTAGACACTTGACATTTTCATAAAATGTTTATACTAGCATTTTCCATACATAATAAAAAACGTATGCTGGGTTTCATAAACAATTTATTAAATTTAATAGTTCACTAAAAATTTAATGGACCAATCGTGGGCCACTAAATCTTGTTTAATGGACCATTAGCTCACTATTGGTTCATTAATTGTTTTGTGCAACCCGGTAATACTAAATTTGTTTATTTATTTAAGTATACCAGGCTGACACACCGTCTCCGCTCAAAATTGTTTTTTTGTATACATAATACATAGAATACGATTTATCATTGAATTCAAATTTTACTCTACCAATGGTCAATGACAATTATTACTATACAGCAGAGCAGTTCCAATTCATCCACCTTTTTTTAGATTCTGAGTGGAACGATGTATTGATTTTACAATGATGTGTGTGTGTTTTTTATTTTTTATTTATTTACTTTCATTTTTGTGTCTGTGTACACAATATGTAGTAGAAATACTGCATCGATTTTCAACTTCAGTATCTCTTAGGGAATTTTTACTCAAAATCGGTTTTCCACAAAATTTTTGTTATTTTATTGTTATTCAAAAACGAATAACTGTAGATACAAGAAAATTTTACTGAATTTTTATATTTTCATTTTCTATACAAAATAAAATGTTGAAAATATTTTGACTCTTTTTGGGCTGTTTACGGACATTGTCAGTTTTTTTTATAAGCAATTAAAGTTCGAATTTTGACAAAATTTATCAAATTTAAAATTTAATAATTATTTTGTAGTTAATAATGTATAAAATGATCAACTTTTATAGCTAAGAATTGAAAATCAAAACAAGGTTCCACGTAAATAGTTTAATATTATATAAATCACTTCACAATGATATCAAATATAGGTACTTAGTAATATCAAAGGCTGACTGACCGTTTTCGAAAGAATCGTTTTTTTTATACAATGATATCATATCATTGAATTCAGTTTTGCCAAAATTTATATTTACCTATGATATTGTCATAGGTGATTTTAGTAGATACGGGGTCACCTTTGTCATCCTATAGTTATTTTATAAAAATGTGTCTAATAGACAACATAATAACAATACTTGGTGTATGGTAAGGTAATTGTAATAAATAAGTGAGTGCCAAAATTTCATGTGGAGGTGTCTAATGTCAAAGTTAAAATTTTGGACTTCAGCGCCACTGATTGAATTCAAATATCACACCATTCATTACAGTGACCCACTTGTAACCTTCTGTACAGCAGAGCAACATTCACTTACCCACTTTATTTTATTCAAACATAATTTTTTTCTTGCCTTCTACTAAGTTCTAATCAATTTCTATACCTTATGTTTTAATCCTTCCTTTATAAGCTACGCTATACTTGAACTATGAACCTACTACATTCAAACCTATTCAACTTGTGTCACAGAATTGTCTTTAATTAACATAATATAAGTATTCCGTTGACTCCAAAAACCGCACACTTATGATAAAATACAGGAAAAAACCGCACACTTTTGGTAGGTTAAAACCGCACAATTTTAAAAATTTTCGTATCCAAAAACCGCACAGTTATGATTTTGACCCCAAAAAGGTCGATAAACCAAAAACTCATATGTATATGTATAATTAATTATTTGTTCTTGTAAAATTTTTTATATACGTTTTATATTAATTAATGTCAACTTAAAAATGTATATATTCCATAATTTAAAATATTAATTTAAAAAAAATTTAAAACTTTCAAAGTTTGATTGGCTGAAACCGACTGCTGACGTTTTTTAAAAACTTTATACGATCTCCGTCACGTAAAAATTCTTCCCAAAATTGAAACAAATGCACCTAAAAATAAATACAGTTTAATTAAAAATCAAAAATATTATTATTATGTACCTATTTACTAACTTGTTTTTGTTTTTCAATTGGACGGATTATATTTTGAATTCCCTTATGGTAATGGTTCATATGTGTCACTGTATCGATATGAATATATCTTAAAACATCAATAACCATAAATACAGATGGATTCGGAGAATTAAACCCTTGGTGAAATCTTTCAGCTCCATTCGTAGTCCTTGTAGTTATATTTGCATTGATTGGCTGGGTCCGAATTTCCATTGGGCATTGTCCTTCAATGTAGGTGTTAAGAATGTAGTCTCCAAATACAGAACATGCATCTTGTGGACATATGGACATTAAATCAATGAATGCATCAATGACTTCATGTACTGGTAAAAATGGTAATCCAAAAAACATTTTTAGCCACTCACCAGTTTCATTTTGCTTAGCATTATATGATTGTCGAAGGTTATTGTTTTATTGGATTTTCCGCCATAAAGCTTGACTAAAGTGGAATCTACAGCCTTTAACTGTTACTCCAGAAAATGTGTTTTGCACAGCCGTTTGAGCTGCAGCTATCTCAAAATCGAGATGGATAATGTTTATATTTAAAACCTGTTCATGTTTGTGTGTGTTATTTATTTTTAGTATATTCTTCAATTGACTGCATGTTGTAACCGTAGATGTACAATTTTTAATATAACACCTCCAAACCACATTTCCACTAATATTGACTCTAAATTTTCTGTATTTAAAATCGTCAAGTAATAAGCACTTGCCCCTTTGTTACTTTCAATAATTTTAAAATCCATTATAAAAATTTAAGATATTAACGTTTGAACACTAAATTATAGACGTAGGTACACTAACCGAATCGAGACCGACTAATAACGAGTGACAACTAAATACTTGATTATTGAATAGTACATATCTTATAATCTTATCTTTTCACTATTTTCACTAAAAATAGTGTGCGATTTTAACCCACTATAAGTATACGGTAATTTGTTAAACAATGACGGATAAGCTGTGCGGTTTTTGGCTATCGACCTTTTTAGGGTCAAAATCAAAAGTGTGGGGTTTTTGGATGCAACCTTTAATTCTTAGAAATGTTTTAATTACCTACATTCTATTATCTAGTAACATTGTTGAATCAAATACATTTTTAACTTTTTCGTTTGAATTGATGATGGAACTTCTTCAGAGTGACGACTTGTGTGCAGAAGAAGAAAAGGTATGCGAATGCACTTAAATTGTTAAAATAAAATAATTAACGTTTAAATTATTTTTATTTGATTGGATAAATAAGAATTTTAGGTACTGGTCTAGTTGACCCCCGCCAAGAAAATATTACCCCCGCCACTCAGGTTTAGTTGACGCCCGCCACTTAAATCTCTCGTGTTTTCGATTTTCTAGTCAATAATCAAAACTATAATCATAGATTATAGAATATTATAGATCAAACATTCATTCGGTATTTATAGATACATAATACATATGAATAAATAAATCGTAAAAAAATTATTCACCACATAAGCTAATACATTTAAGCTAGATATACAGGTGATTTAAATAAAAATAGATAAATAATGTATATCATATATGAATAAATAAATAGTAAAAAAAATATAAATCATTCACATATAATTTATGTAAATAATAATGCAGAAAATAATAAAACGTTATGCAGGTGGCCAAAATTCTGATAATATGCCCTTCAAAATTTCATTAAACGGATCGCGACCGTTTAATTTTCTTCGCCACATAAACTCTGACAAATAAGAATCTAGGAAGTATCTAATTAGGGAATTTCATACAAATACCTAACGTGTGTGATTTCGTACCTTTTTATCTGTAGTATATACATTCTATATCGAATGACTAGGTAGAACATCAAAAACGCGAGAGATTTAAGTGGCGATCGTCAACTAAACCGAGTGGCGGGGGAAATATTTTCTTGGTGGGGGTCAACTAGACCAATACCGAATTTTATGTTTTTGTTCAAAATATTTAATATTATTTTGCACTTGTCACATTGTTTTATTTTTAAATATTATTTCTAAGGTTTACGAATCTACTATGACGTGGTTGAAACACGATTTAAAAGAACGTTTGAAATACTTGCCAGAGTTAATTAAGTCCATTCGGTTAAGTCTAATGTCGGTTGATTATTTGGATAGTGCTGTTCAAGAAGAGGATCTCATTCAATCTAATATTGAGTGTAAATTAAATTCTGTACATTTTTATCTTTTGACGTAGAATATTGGGTTTCTTAAAAAAAAATTACAAACCACACTATTTTCAAATAATTCATAGACACCATCAAATAAACGAGTATCAAAAGAATTTATTTACATATTGATCAATGTAAAATAATAAAAACTTAAGACTGCCAATTAATGATAACACGCGATATCCATCGATTTACGTAAATTATGTATCTATCTGAAAAGTCTAAATATTTAAATTTAATGAAGGTTCACTAATCATTATAATTTGTGAGCTTACTTCTCTTACCATATCGACCCATCATCAAACATTCTTTACATATTCTAATAACTAATAAGTAATACATTATATTCTATACTCTGTCCAGAGAGAGGTACCTAGATAGCCGTTTGGGTTGGCGCTATCTCATCTAACCCGATTTTCCCATCGCGCGGTATTCAAATTTAAGTGAGATAACCACATACGCCACCAGTGGTGGGAATGCTCAGCAATACACGAGTTTTGAACTTTTGGTTACCACTCGCCGCCCAGACGCCTGATGCTCTCTCTCACTGGACAGAGTATGCGTCCCAAAGTTCTGCGTCTATAGCTCGAACATTGCAACCACCATCAGCATTCAGCAGTTTTTCTAAAATATTTTTATATTTAGGTATGCGTTACTTATTGCATGCCTATAAAGTCCACCGGCAGATAAAAACAATGGATAATGAAACAGTAATGACTTACAATATCGAACGTCGAAAATTCAGCCAGGTAAAATACAAATAAAATGTACCTTTTTATATTGTTAAATATTGATTGAGTTTACATCATTTGTAAAAACAATGCATTTTGTAGTAAATTAAAAGGCAAAGGCAATAATAAATTTAAAAACATATATAAAAATATAAAAATGTATTTTCTATATAATATTTACAATAGGTACGGTCATAATAACTGTTTTTAAATTTTAAATAATAAATATCAACAGTTAAGTATATTGTAACCTTATAATAGTTATTACTATTAGTTATTACTATTAACGAGGTATTATTTTTTAATTATGATACAAAAACTAATTTAAATTTTTTTTTTTGGAACTCACCTACGTACAATAACGTGTAAAAACCGATGGTGCTAAAAAATCTTGAACTTTATAGAGCTATAGAATTATAACTTAAAACTCAATATTTTCACAGATTTTTTTTGCACCATCAGTTATTAATAATATACCTACAATATTGTAAGTAAGTTACAAAAAAAAAGGTCTCCAGCTAAAGTAGTTTTGCTCTTTTATAGTATTAAAACTTTGGAAATAATTGAAAATAATAATAGTAATTTATATTGTTCTAACTTTTAATCTATTCCAGTCATTATACATTAAATAAAAATTTTATTTTAGGAATCACAGTCATTAAAAAATATTCTAGGAAATGAATATTTTAAAGATTTTTTGTAAGTTATTTATATTTACTTTAACTAAAATCTATACACATCAACATTTTCTATTTAAGTCATTTGTGACATTTGTGCCCACTGTTTCCGTATTATGTGATATACCTATAGGCTATAATCGAATAATTGTTTATTATACGTTATAGTTTTATGTAATAATATATATATACAGGGTGTCCCGTGAGGATTTACTCATTAGCCGTAGAGAGGGACTCGCCGCCCGGACAAAAACCAGTTTATTGACGTGTTACTAATAAACTAAAAAAATTATTAAAAATCATAAGATTAATGAAAATAAAATGTTAAAAGCTCAAAATGTTCACAAAAATATACTCTATAGAATGGCTATCTTCAATTTTTTCAAAAATAAAAAAATAAAAAAATAATTTTTTTAACTTTTTTACTAAAAAATTTAATTTAATTAAAAAATAAAATACTTGTAGTGCTTACCTCTGCGAGTCTTAATAAAAAAACATAATTACGATATCTCCATTATTTCAGGAGATATCGCAATGAGTAAATCCTCACGGGACACTCTGTATATATATATATAGGTATATATATATATACTATACCTACTTATATCACTAATTATATCGTAGTGTTTTTTTTTAATTTCATAGGTATCTTTATAAGATAACATAACATATTAATAATATTATGTTATAATATGTTGTATGAAAAAACAGTGGGTCCAGTAAGAGAACGAGCCGATTCTGCGCATCCTCCCTCGTCATCCTACCATAGAAACCGATTCCATTATTGCAGGGTGTCGAGTATAGGATTGGGGCATATATCACATAAAATTATAAAAATTAAATTAATTATCTTTTGTATTTTATGTTATTTTTTTTATTTTCTAATTTTTTAATGCTGTAATTTTCGAACACCAAAGTGTGGATGCGCAGAAAAACCGATTTTGGTTGGTCCACAGCGCGTTCCCTAGTAGGTCAGAGTATAAATCTGGGGCTTGGGTCAAAAAGGGCCAATTTCACTTTTAATTTTATTTTATTTTAACAAAAATATCTCATATCTCGCACTAATGATTGTCATGAAAATTACAAAATCTATGGGGCATATGTGAACATTGGCTCCTTTTTGTTTAAACAAAATAAAATTAAATTAAAAGTGAGATTGGCCCTTTTTGACCCAAGCCTCAGAAATAAATACCTATAAATTTTATTTTCTTAATAACCAAAACCCTATTTTTAGGCTTATAATAGATTCACCAGAATTTATGTCATTCAAATTTGAACAGATAATGGAACTAATTAAAAGTGATGATTTATGTGCTGAAGAATTACAAGTAGGTATTTCAAGAAAAAAAACCTTTGCAAGTAAGTACCACTCTGCCGTACAGTAGGTGTCAAGAATGGTCAAGGGGTTACTAAAAATAATGTGTTGAATTCGAATTCAATGATATAAAATCATTGTAGGTACATATATATGAAAAACAATTCTGTGGGAAGACGCTCTATAAACCTATATTACTAAGTATATTTGATGATATTATTGCTATTAAAGTAATTTATTTTAATATTGTTATAATATCAGATGAAAAATCTTATAGATGTATAAGCACTATTTTTTTCTCTTCAAAATCTCGAAAATGTATAAATTATTTTGTTAATTAACAATTTATAAAATGTTCAATTTTTAAAGCAAAAGATTGACAATTTAAAACAAGGTTTCTGATAAGTAGTTATTTATACTCCAACAAAAAATCTAAAAAATAAATGCACAGTTTATTTTTATAGATATTTTATGTTTATATCTGGATGAAATAACTAATTAGATATTTAAATAAATAAAAACGATTTTAGTTATTTTATTATGTCAATATCTTGAATATTGTTGGTAATCTCGAATTCAATCGGCATCCCTTTGAAATAATTAATATTACAATAAAACTCGATATCTGGAACTTTTTGATTCCTCGGAATAGTCTAATAACTTATCTACTCCCCTTAAGTTTTGACATAACGATTAACGAGTGTTATATTAGATAGTTAGTACTACTATATTGTATAATATACACAATGAAATTTTCTTCGGTATCAAATAACTCATCCTAATCCTAATGTAGAAATTGTAAAATAAGTAAAATGTAATAATTCTTTAACAGCATTGATATCTTAAAATATACAATATACTTTGTATACTAGTTTGACAGTCTTCGCTCAGAATTGTTTTTCGTACCAAATGATTTTATATCATTGAATTAAAATGTAACATATTAATTATAATGACCCTTCTAAACACTTACTGGATAGCAGTGTGGTACCCACTTGCCACATTGTTTTAATTATATATATAATGTTTATTTTTTTTTTTTTTACATACTTATACCAAAGTCCCAATAATATTTACCATCATATCTTTAAAGTATATTTTTTTAATGATAGAAAATGCCTAAACTTTAGTTTTTATTATGAGTAAAATATATAATGAATATATAGGTAGTGTAGATAGTGTATTAGTGTATATTTTTTATTTTGTTGGCTTTTGATAATTGTTCAGGTTTTTAAAGCCACTATTTCATGGGTAAAATATGATGTGAAAAATCGTTCTGAATTATTTCCTAAGTTATTCCTCTCAATTCGCTTATCATTAATAAAAGTTAAAGACTTGATCGAAATCGTTGAAGATGAAAAGCTAGTTTCTTCAAATTCAATATGTAAGTATTTTTGTTTGTATACTATGTAGTGAGTAGTTTATATTATATTATTATACTAATAAGAGTAGTAAATTATTTGATGTTACAATGTTAATTATTAAAAGACTAAGAACAATTGAAATTATAAGTAACTACTATTTATACAATTAGTTATCAAAACCAATTTCCTCATAAATAAATAAATAAAGTACCTATCAAGATTTTCAAGAAGAAAAATTCGATACCTATCGACGGAATATATGAAGTTACGTACCGACTCGTAGCGAATCTGAGTCCGACTTTTTTTTGGGGCTACCGAGGCCGGAAAATATTGCATAATGGGCCTAAGTAAATTTATATTTCCACAAACGACTATTGTAGATAAAACAATTATATACATTTTTAATTTTTTTGGAAAACGTCAACTATAGATAAGTGCTTTATGCATAAATATAGAATACATATATAATATTATATCATAATTATAGAATTTACCAGTATAAAACGAATTTCCCTGTCTACTATAAAAAAAAAATTGACATGATATTAAAATGTAATTTTTTCTTATCGTTTATGGTAAAAAACCAATACAATTTTAATTTTGATACCCTATTGTAAAAAAAGTAAACCTAGGGGCCGATTTAACAGTGAATTTTGAGAATATAAGCCGGATTAATCTCTTTCTGTCTAAAACCGGAGTCCGCGCAAGCTTATGGTCTTAAACACTCAAAATTGACCCAATACATATCGATATTTGATACACTCCAATTTCTTCCTTGAAAATCTTGGAAATATTATTCATCATAAATGGTAATTCATTTTCTTTTTATAATTAACACGCGGCAACATAAGCCTGAACATTAGGTGTTGGTACAGTAGGGTTGGGACGGTTGGTAGGATCGGTAAGGAACACGTGTATGTGTGGCAAGGTTTTTGCGCACTATACGAACCCGGGTGGTCACCCATGTGAGTACTAGTGGCAGCGGCCGTTGCTTACTCTCAATCACGACGCGTGATTGATTTAAAATACTGTGCTGCGCCAAGCCACTTATTCATTTTTATTATATTTAAATTAATGTTAATTTTAAATGAAATTTAAATGTATAAAATTTAAAAAAATTATATGTTCATATTATTATAAACATTAAATTTTAATGAATCAACGAATTTATTACAATCATACGCGGGAGAGTCTACTTCTACCCGTCAGGTATAGTACTACTGTACTAGAGTAGACCTGGGAGAGTTCATTATTGGTCATTAAAATCGAAAGAGTTAAGATACAATAGCATACCTAAATCCAATAAACTAAACTAAATTTCTTACAATTTTATGTTGATAAAATAATATAAATACAATGGTTCTAGAGCTTTGAGTTTTTTATAATATAAGTAATAGTTAGTTATTTTTTTATAAACAAAATGTTCGTATTAAAAAAGTTTAGTTTTCCATTTTTGTTTATGTATGCTGTAAATTGTGTTCTAAATGTTGAAGTGTTAGTGTTTATAAATTATAAGTTGTATGTATGTCAATTATTACATCAATAATTGAGTATATATACCTATACGTACATTTTTTATCATAAAAATACATTGGTTAAATGTATTGAATTCAGTAACATTGTATATTTGTCTATTTAAATGATGAATAGTTTAATGATAATAATATTCAATTAAACATTCTATTTTAATGCATTTATTATGTTATAGGTATGGACTTTTTACTCAAGACTTACAGAATGCTTGCACTTGATACAAATGCATTAATGAACATATCAAAATCTAGTGGATTTAATATTTTAAATTATAGAAATCATAACTTGAAACAAGTAATAATATTTATTTTGTAATGTAATTATTAACTAAATTTGTAATCAGCATGTATAATTTACTAACTATATTACTTCGCCTTGGAAAAAATGAACAATTTTAAAATAAGGCAGTAGGTGTATTTGGGTTTTAATGGTACTTCTGTTCACGGAAATGTCGGTGTCAGTGTACTTTGTGGACAAATCTGAGTACTTGACGGAGGCTTAAGTATTTTAACTTCATGAGTTAATCGTAATTTTAAAATACGGCATTTATTATTATTGTTATAGATTATACGTATGTTACTATAGTATAATAGTTTATAATATAATTTTATGAACAAAATAAATAAATAATAGCACAATGAAAATGTACTATGATAAACTACTTAAATACATTTTGAAATTTTTTCTAGGCCCTAGTATTATATAGGAAATCTGGTTATTCAAAAATTGAGTGGTTTGACAATACTAACAACGCTTTTTATGAATGTTCATTAACTTGGTACTCTGACAATACTACATCAAATTTAATATTAAAAGATGGTAGAATCTTTAGTATAAGTCGATGTGATGGGTAAGTAAATTTGTTACTAAATATAAGTGACAGGAAATAGGAATATATATTAATGAAGTACCTACCTATATGTACTACAGTAGACAGTAGTTAACATATTCAATGATTTATGTATTAGTAATAGCTTTTAAAATGTATCTCCCTAAATATAAAATATGAATTGACAATTTTATTATTATGATTATTAAAAGTGATATTACTTTGTCATAAAATAAAGTTTAAATAATAGGGTATGTATAGGTTTAAATTAATAGTCCAATTACGTTTTATAGGTATATGACCATGAAATATTATATAAATTAATCTATGTAATTAAGAGGACGTAACACTGGTATTTGTTGACTCCGTCTTACCAGTGCGTAACATATAGCAAATTTACGCTCAGCAAAACACTCGTTTAAACATTAGAGTGAATTGACCTATTATGAAACTTGATGGTAAGAACATTATCTGTGTTTGTACCTTGGTTTTTTACGATAATTCAGTTTTTAAGTGAGTTATGAGCATTTTTAATTTATGGTATATTATATATGGATAACTTGCTAAAAAATTGAACTATCAGAAAAAACCAACATACAAACACAGATAATATTCTTACCATCAAGTTTCACAATATTTCAATTCACTATAATTTTTAAACTAACTAAGTTGCAAGTGTTCTGTTGAGCGTACATTTGCAATGTTACGCACTTCAGCACTTGTAAGACGGAGACAACAAATACCAGTGTTACATCCTCTTAATATCTTATTTCAGTGTTAATTCCGTACAATTATATGATGGAAATTATAATACATGGAAGTCTATAAGTACTCCTAATTTTGTTCATCATTATTCAAATATTATACAATTTTATGACCAAGTGTATGTAGTAAGTATATGTAATAATTTATCACATTCAAATTCAAATGATACCTACCTAGTAAAATATTAGATCTAAAAAATTAAAAAGTTGGATATGGTCCTATGGTAGGTTACAAGTGGGTCGCTTTAATTGATGGTGTTAAATTTGAATTCAATGATATAACATCTTTGTATACGAAAAACGTAGGATGTCTTATAATATATATATATTGTTATTATTAATACGGTAGCTGGAAAATTGAATTAATATTATAGGTTTGCATATTATCATGTTTGTGTATAAAAATATGCCTTAGAAGTTTCAAGTGACCACGAATAATAATTTTAAATTACATCTCAAAACTAAAATCGTTATTCTTCGTCAAAATTTGAACTTAACACAACTATAAAAAAAAATACTGCTTTTATATATTTTTTAGATTTCTAGCTTAAAGTATGAACTAGGCAATCTTGTAAAAAGATACTTTTAATTTGTATTTAAATAGAGATACAAATACATCAACTTAAAAAGTATTTAAATAGTATTTAAAGTACTTTTTTCAATAAGTATTTAAGAACAAAAACAAATACTTAGAAAGTATTTAAACACAAATACTTATTTTAATACATTTGTTTTAAGTTTTACCTTTGGGTTCAATACTTTTTCTCTGATATTTTAACTTTAAATTTGACCATGAGATCAAACTCATTCAAACTGTACATATTAATTATTATTATATAGTTAATACTTAATAGTTCATATATTATAATGCATGTTCCATATTCTGGTACTAACCAAGGTACCTATAATTGTATGATAAGTAAATAATCACCGAATGATCGTTTCAATTATTTATTGTATGAGAACTAAATAGATATTATAAGAACCTTTATCTCCACAACAAACCTAGCTTCTGGAGAAAATAATTTATATATAAATGCTATATTTCTGTAGTGAAAATATTTGTATTAATGTATATATTATGTATGTATACTATTCAATTATTCAACAGGAAAAAAATAAGATCATAGGTAAACGTAAAGTCGTAAACCGAATCAGCTGATTGAGTATCGCTTCATTATGGTTCTATGTTTATAGTTTGGAGTTTAACAATAATATTTTGCATTTTAGGAGGCTATGTTGGGAATAAACTTACTAAATTTCAATGATATTACTCATGACTATATTATTATTTAGTCATGATATTAATTTGATTTCTGAGAAAAAAGATAATAAATAATCATTTTTTATTGAAAAAAAAATCGATAAAGTATTTAAATAAAAGTATTTGATTTTCAAATACAAATACGTCCAAAACTGTATTTAAAATACTTTCCAAATACTTTATTCAAAAAGTATTTAAAAAGTATTCTAAATACAATAAAAGTATTTAAATACATTTACTCAAATACTTTACAAGACTGGAACTAGGTACTTACATGGAACCTTGTTTTACAATTTCAATCCTTATGTATAAACATTGAATATTTTATTAATTTTTAACTGCAAAATAGTTTATATACATTTTTAATTTGATAAATTTTGCCAACATTTAAACTTTAAATACTTATAAAAAAAAAAACGGGTTTATGTAGGTATATTTTTAATATTATTAAACTGATATTGTAATAATGTATAAAAAGTGGCCTTTCATTATGTTTTCAAAATTTTTAATATTAATATAAATACAGCAGACAGCTCACTTTATAAATTGCCTTACGACACAGTTAACACATAAGTTAAGTAAGTTTACAAAGTAAAATCCCTTTTTCCCTATGGGCCTATCCACCCCTGCATAGGTAATTAAAAAAATCAATGTATTATAATACTACTAAACATTTTTCTTAGATGTCTTCCAGTGGTGTTGAGTATTACGATATTCTAAGTGGAGAATGGCAAGAAGTTAAGCTTAAAATAACGTTTGAAACTGAACATTTGAAACTTGCTGTAGTTTCCGATTTAATTTATGGAGTGAGTAAAATAGTTTTAATACAGTATGTTTGTGAGGTTTGAATTAAAATACCGTGACCTCCACTTAAATATCACTGGCTTATAGTATCAACTGACAACTATTAACTATAGAGTCTAGAGAGCCTAGGTAATATATAAATTGCAGATATCTGCAGGCTCTCTATGGTATCAACCATTTATTGGAATTATAAAATAAAAATCTAAGTCAAAATATAAAATTATGATGGTATTATGTTTCTAATATTAAATTGCCTTTTTAAATATAGTCTAATAATTAACTACGCTCCTCAGCCATGATCCCTCGAGAAATTCAAAAAAAAAAATTGTAACTGACCTTCAAATTTCCAAATATAATTGGTTAGTAAGTACTAATAGTTGTCACTAGTTAAACGATTTTTATGAACTTATTTTATTTATTCATTTATTTCTATTTAACATAGGCCCGGCACCTATGGGAATTAGTTGTTTTTTTGTTGTTTTGTAGGGGGGGGCGGTTGGAACAGTTGGTTGAAACAAGTGTATTTTTAGGTTTGGCAGAATTTCAAGTGAGCACCCGTAGGTTTCTGCCATGCCCGGTCGGGAGATGGCGGCTTCACTCTAGACATATAATTTTTTATGTACCTATTTTCTATATATTATTTTTATTTAATGATATCGTGGCTTCGGTGGAAGTAAATGTGACTTAATATATTAAATTAGGTTAGTTTAAAATAAATTCATAAATACATTAACTGTATTATTAATTTTAAATTTTGGGTCCACTGTTACAACGCCAGCAAGTCAATCGACAACGAACAGATCTCTGTTATAGGTATATATTATACTATATAATAATGTGTTATACATATGTAGGTAACTTAGCAATACCATTTAAACATTTCATAATATTATAATTATTTTAATTATACTTAATTATGGTAATAATGGGTAGTTAAATATAACAAAGTATTATATACGAAGACGGTACCTAGGTAAAATGTGGCCCAATTGCCGACAACACATTCCATAATTTATTGTATTGTAACATTTTAATTTATACTTTTAATTATCGAATAATATTTCTTGCTTTAAGGTTTGCAGAAGCGGAACGAAAGCTTTTTGTTATAATCCAAAAACTGACTTTGGTCAAATAATTGGTTCTTTGAGTACTGATAATATACATGAAGTATATTCAATTTGTTCATTTAATAACCAATTGCATCTAATTGGTTGCAACAGAGACGGATTTACACAATTGCCGCCCCTAGGCAATTTTTTTTTTTGCCGCCCCATTAAACTTATCAACGAGAAAACGAATTTTTAAATACTCATTTAACATAAGTACTAAAAAAAAAAATCATAAAGACTGATGAACTCAACTAAACAATAATTAATGGCAGTTATGTTAATAAACTGTTCTAATAAAATGTGTTTATAAAATATAGTGTTTATTTACCAGTAATTTAAGTAGTAAACTAATAACCAAATATGAAGTCTATCCGCCTTGAATGTTGTGTTGAAAATAATCGAATGTCTAATCAGAATAAACCTATTTTTTACTCGGCCGCCCTCTATTTCATAGACTCATAGTTCCGAAGAAAAATAAACAATTATTACATAATTTTATCTTTTGGATAGAAAAAGTTTTATTTTTGTACACATAATGCATAGTACGTACGAGTATATTATATAAAAATATTCACAGTAACTGGTTTATAATTAGACTATCGTTCCAATACGAATCGATCGTCACCCTTAATCCTTATTCGTATTAAATATATCATATCTGTATGTATTGTGCGTGTAGTGTGTGTACTGTGTACGCCGTGCGATCAAACGAACTTATTAATAATTATTACGACTTAGCAAAAAAACAAATTAACGAAATATGTTATCCATGTTTAGTACCTATTTAGATAATAGATCTACGTTCCGGCAGTCGTTAGATAATTTACTTGGACGTTTATTGTTTTGTATTATAAAATAAAGAAGAAATTATATTAACAAGAATATTATTATACTTAAATATTAAACATTTTTTTTTCATCCTTCAGAGTAATCACCGTACATTAGAAAATCAAAAAGAAACTTAGAGTATTCTCAATAAAATATTGACCTAAAATTGCCGCCCCTAAAAATTTGCCGCCCTAGGCAACTGCCTACTTTGCCTGACGCTAAATCCGCCACTGGGTTGCAACCTTGATTCAAGTCAAACACATTCTATTATTTTGTATAAGTACAATCCACTAACTAATCAGTGGATTAAAGTCACATGGGCATATGACGACACAAGATCACCAGGTAATGTGACTTAGACAACATTTAAAGTTCAAATCTTGATAAAATACCGAAAAATCACGAAAATTACCAAATTATTTTGAGTTAAGAATTCATAAAAATGATTGTTTTTAAATCTAAGATTTGAAAATGTAGTACAAGATTCCTCATAAGTTTGTCTACCATTATCAAAAAAAAATATCTACAAGCAAATCAAATTAAATTTATATGAGTGTTTGAAATTCATATTTTTACAATATTGGATATTCACTCGATTTCTCATGTAGTGGTTTCATTAATTTATTACAAAAACGAATAACTGTAGATACAAGAAAATTTTACTGAATTTTTATATTTTCATTTTCTATACAAAATAAAATTTTGAAAATATTTTGACTCTTTTTGGGCTGTTTACGGATATTGTCAGTTATTTTTAAAAAGCAATTAAAATTCGAATTTTGACAAAATTTATCAAATTTAAAATTTAATAATTATTTTGTAGTCAATAATGTATAAACTGTTCAACTTTTATAGCTAAGAATTGAAAATTCAAAACAAGGGTCCACGTCAGTGGCGTAAGCAGAATTCGTTAATAGTGGGGGGGGGGTTGCCATATTTTATTATTTTAAAATAATAAATCAATAAATTACGTTTAAAATATTAAATAATTGTATAAATACAAAAATATTGAACACAGAACGACTCGTTCTGAACGAGAGTTCAAAATAAAATGAAATAGTATTCTGAGACTCTGAGTATTCACGTTGCAGATTAGTGTAATCGACTAGTACCTAATCGTCGATCGGTTATTTGTAGATTAGTTTAGTTGGTATATAATATTTATTATTATGTCAAATCGCATGATTCAAAGTAGATAGCAACGATATTACTATTACAAAATATTATCTATTATACGCATTACACGCACACGTATATCTGTGTATGAACTTAGTACTTTGCTCATAAACCACCATGACCCATGTAATATAATGTAACATGGAATGACAATAATTATTTTTCGACAAAAATATTAACGCGTTATCGGGGCCAGACTAGACCGATATACTGAACCTTTTAAAACCACCGGGAAGTGACCGACCGACAAAACGCATAATATGTAGTGTTTGAAAATTTCATGAAATTTTAAAAAATGAAATATTTCGTGAAATATTTCATGAAATATTTCAAAATATGTGAAATATTTCAGTATTTTAATATATTTTGTTTTATTTTTAAATAAGTTTTATATTTACATATAATTGTCATAAATTACCTTCATCTCTATATGGTAACTGTATGTATACCTAACCTTTGGTATTATACATTTAAATTGGTATTCAACATTTTTAAATATTTTAATGTTTAAATATGATACAAGTACGTATACAATATTATACATGTATATTGTATACTTACTGAATTCTGACATTAGAATTTAGAACACTGAACATTGTGTTAAAAAAAAAATAAATTGTGTTTTTATTTGTGTTAAAAAAATTTTCAATGTTTCACGTTTTTGTGAAATATTTCACAACTTAGTGAAATATTTCAAAATGAAATATTTCATTTGAAATATTTCATGAAATATTTCCCATACTTCAAACACTAATAATATGATCCTAGTCTAAATATAATATACCATAAAAAAAATCATTATTCGTATTTTACTTGGGGGGGGGGGTTAACCCCCCCCCCCCCGTCGGTACGCCACTGGACTCCACGTTAATAGTTTAATATTATTTAAATTACTTCATTCACAATATCATAAAAAAAGTTTATATTTTTACAAGATTAGATATTCACTCGATTTCTCATGTGTTTTTTTTGTGTCTATCATCACGTTTTAGGACACTAAAAATGCTCGGATTTTCTTCAACAGTAGCTTTTCTGATAGGAAAGTGAATCTAGTTGGTACTTTGGGGGGTCAAAAGTGAAAATAGTTTTCACGAGCGCCGGGAAAAACAACATAAAAATTAAGGAAAAACAGGAATTTCTAGGCAAAATCGGTTTTCCAAAAATCGAATTTGGTTTTTGGTGCAACTCTTAAACAAATGACCGTAGGTGCATGAAATTTTGACTGAATGTTTATATTAGCATTTTCTATCCACGATAACATTTTCAAAATATTTTGATTTATTTTGAACTGTTTAGGCACATTTTCATTTTCCATTTTTTTTTAGTTTTTTTTCTAAATATATCAATAATATTTTATTTGTTAGTTAAAAAAGCTTGAAAATTTATTAATACAAGAATCCTACTATATTGTTACAATGGCATTTGAAAAATATTAAACATCCTTAGTCACTGTTTTTTTTTATAAGCATTTAAAGTTCAAAAATTGACAAAATATGGAAAAATCACGAAAATAAGCAAATTATTTTGTGTTAAGAATTCGTAAAAATTTTTCTTTTTAAATCTAAGGTTTTAAAATGTAATACAAGATTCCTTATAAGATTATCTACCTTTATCAAAAAAAAATGTCTATAAGAAAGTCGAATTAAATTTTTATGAGCGTTTGAAATTCAAATTTTTACAACATTGGATATTCACTCGATTTCTCATGTAGCGATTTCCTTATTTTTAAAATTATTTTGTAGTTAAAAATTTATAAAATTTTCAACTTTTATAGCTAAAGATTGAAAATTTAAAACAAGGTTCCAAGTAAATAGGTTGTGTGTAGATTACTTTATTCACAATTATATCATCAAAATCAAATACACTTAGTAATATCATAAGCTGACTGACCGTCATCGCTCAGAATCGTTTATCTTAACATAATATCTTATGATATTATATTGTTTAATTCAAATTTAACACCATCCATTACAGTGATCCACTTGTAACCTACTGTATAGCAGACCGACACCCACTTGCCCACTTTTTTTCATTTAAATATGCTAATGAACAGTTTATTGCATTTAAAGAAGCCTCGTACCGGGATTATTTTCCAAAATTTTCTAATTTATAATCATATTCATTTAGATGGATACGTTAAAGACATGTGTTAATATAGGTAGAATTATAGCTTATCATAATATAAGGTATACCTAGTTTTAATATAACATTTATTTTCTAGGTGTTGTTGTACTGAATGAAATACTTTACCTGATGGGCGGTAAATATATCATATTCTACGAATCTAAATCGAATCGTTTTCAAAGTAAGATTGGAAGCCTGAATTCTTCAACACACTCTCACTCACAATCATTTATAGTTGACACAAAAAGTATAAATCGAAATAATATTTTGAAATATTATTCCAGTGATAAAATTTAAAACTTTAATTTCAAATAAGAACCTTTACATATTTTTATTTTTAGTAGATAATAAAAAAAAATATCTGACTAAGATTTTAATAATAACAGTATGTGTTACCTATATTCATTTGGACTTTACCTCATTGATTGATATTGATTTATAGACTTTTAATTAATTTCATTACAAGACTTTATTTTAAAACACATGGTTATGAATTATATCATGCATAACATTACAACTAATTAACTTTCTTAATAGTAAAAGTGAATCAGAGAGTGTTTTAGGTTATGTACAATGAAAAAAATATAATTTAACAAAATACAACATTAATAATAATAATGATAACATATCACAGTATGTAAAAAATAAATAGTTTGAAATCAAATATAAATATCTTATTTATGTTGTAGTTTATAATATTAATTCAACTCACAGGCTATAATAAATAATAACAATATAAAATATCCAGACTGACAAACTGTCTCCGCTCAGAATCGTTTTTCGTATTCAATGACATTATAATATCATTGAATTCAAATTTAATACAATCCATTATACAGTGACTCACTTGTGACTCTACTGTGCAGTAGACCGACACCCCTAACCCACTTTTAAAATTATTTTTTTCTATTAATGTAGGTAGTTAAATAATTTTTGTTATAAGGTTTGTCATAAGCTATTATAATAGCAGTTCAAAAATATTAAAGGTACATTATTTTTATAAGCATTTAAGTTCAAAATGTTGATAAAATCAAGAACATTTGAAAATTATTTTGTAGTTTAAAATTTATAAAATGTTTAATTTGTATAGCTAAGTATTGCAAATTTAAAACACCCTATAGACTGAAAGACTGTCTTATCTGATAACATTTTTTCGTATACAATGATTTTTTACCATTGAATTTTATTCAAATTTAACACATCCATTACAGGGACCAACGCGACACTATATATATAGGTACTATACTCTTTTTCACGAGAGAAAGGTAGCGGCGGCCGACCAAAACGGGTCCGCCGCCGCGCATCCCCCACCAACTATCAGTGGTAAGCGTGATCACGTGGTCGTTCACGCACCAATCGAATCATTTTACATGCGCGAAGCGGTACCGTTCTCTCGTGAAATAGTGTATTACAGAGCTATACCCTCATGCTCATCTTTTTTAGTGTTTATAATATATTAACTATATTGAATTTCTACCAGCTTGCATGACCGTTCAAACCCCCCCCCCCTCCTTATGGACACTTAACAAATATGTACTTACATAATTGTAATAATTTATTAGGAACGAATCTAGCTTAGCGCCCGAGTGAATTTTTATATTTTTTTTCGGTGAACCATATAAGCGTTGTACCAACGTGTGAGTAAAACACCGAAAATCGGGAACTCCGTAAAGGCTATACTATAAAAACTAATGATTTCCGGCAATTCATTTTTGACCCATCGTTCATAACTGGTTATAACACATTACAAAACAAATTGAAAAATTCGAGTGGTCGCTAAACTAGATTTATAAATCTATAAGTTTAAAAAATATTTTGTTTGAAAAAAAAATTTCAAACTACAAACTCCCTCCCCTATTCAAAATTTCTGAGCATGATGCTTCTGCCTGCTTATAAGAATAGTTACTAGCACTCCATTGCTCCAAAATAAGAAATGTAAAACAATAAGTAATTGTTTTCACTTGATTATAATTAACAACCAAATACTGACTAGAAAAAGAGTACTTAATAGCAGTACTATACTTAAAAGTACCTATAGTTAAACAAGTGCATAAAATGGTCTAATTACTAATAAGTATGATTTCTAAAATACATCTACAAGTATCTAAAAATATTTATCAACTCTAGCGGTCTAATGAAAGTCGCAAGTATGCAACAATTTCATATGAACATATAGATATTCTGTATGCGTTTACAATTATTATACATGAGATTTTAGACGTACCTAATGTAGACTTATAAGTTATAGATGTGTTATTTCTATACTACCTATATACAATATTGAATAGACATTAGATACTATACTATTATAGACACATCATAGTCGTAACGTAAATATCTCTTGACTACCTAGATTATGTATTTTTACTGGGTAATCTAAATCTTTTATGATAAGGCACAAAAAAGTAAAAACATTATTTTTGTGGTCTATATACATTTAAATTATTAAATTATTTGATGAAATATAAAAGATCTTGTCTGGAGTGACTAACGGAACCGCCAGAGCTACGAGTACGACATTTGGTCAGTAGTTTAGTTTTATAAGAAAGGATTTTCCCAAAATTAGCATTTTAAAGAGGTTCTTAAACAAGGATTCACGGGGGAGATTGAAACTTTTTGTTTATAAATGGTTGCCATTTGTTACTTGGGCATTGTCGGACAGAGGAGCTAAAAGCATAGGTATGCATCAAATTCGAGGCGCTTAAACATAGCCTCGATTAAAGTATCTATATCTTATAAGTTATAGCTAAATGTAAGTTTGTAGCTTATATACTCAAAAACTACTCGAATGATTTTGAGAAAAATTACAGATACTTTTTTTAGATATATCACTATATTATATGAAAAGTTTAGACAATAATTTAAAAAATATGCCAAGTGCTAAACCTAATCCGTGACTTGCGGTTGCCCATGTATAGGTCGAATTATTTTACAAAGCTAAGTACACTGAAGCTAATTTGGCCGTGAACTGAGGTTTGAGGTAGGTACCTACACTAAAACTGAGATACACCTATATGTATAGTGTTTCCCTGGCGAAGTCGGCTTTTATAGCTATTATAGGCTATCTACTATAAACATCAAAGTTCTATAACGGATGAACCTTGTGCTGCAAATCCACAGCTTTTGACCGATTTTCATAACATTTTCGTCAATATATTCAGTTAGATTCACACTGTCGAAGCCGGGTTATTAGGCTAGTTTGACATAATGAGGACCCAATTCATCTATTATATAATATAGGTAGCTATACAATTTAGAACGGTATACCTATATAGGTATATAATAAATGGCATGGTATCGATCAATACTAAAACATAGAAAAAAAATTGCATTGAACAAAAAATATCCATATTGTAATATTAGGTTTAGGTATATACATTTTTAAACATACTATATAGTAGCTGTGTTTATGAATTTCATTAGAACATATTATTAGTTCTTCAGTCAAACAATATCATTTTATAGATTCAAAATAAACTGTTGTACTATATATGTATATACTAATACAAACAAGAAAAAATATGATATAAACTATAAAGTATAATATAGTCGCCTAAGAACCATCATGACCAATCTCAAAAAATTCAAATACCTATGCGTTTTATATATCAATAGATTAGTATTTTCGAGACGCATGAGACCAAGAGATTAGTTTTGGTGTTTGATCATTAGGTTCGCTGTGAAAATTCCAAATGCCATCATGTCCTATCTAATATCGTTTATTATTAGTGGTATCATGTCCTATCTAATATCGTTTATTATTAGTGGTACACTGAAAAAAATATTACTGTTCTTATTAACAAAACTGTTAAGTTAAAGTATAAATAGTGAGCGTCACTAAAAAACTGTATCAATTATAAAACTAACCGGTTCGAATAATTCAGCAATTTGTTGTACGTACATATCAATTACTGTTAATATATTTTTGTTGTATATACTAGTAATATGTGCTATAGTAACTAATTTTTGTGAGCATAAACAAAGTTATGATCCGTACAGAATTTACAGTATCATTTACAGTAATAGTTTGAATAGAACAAATATAGTTGAGTTGTTAATACAATATGGATTGTACTTTTTAGTTTAACGCTAGGTACCTAATTATGCTGTATGACTCGAAATATTTACAAAATGTTTTGTTAGTCAAATATTTTACTTTTATTCACACAACTGAAGTTAGTTCTAAGCAACTAAACAATTGTGGTAGACAACAAATCTTTGGTAATAACACCATACCATTTTAAAGCCACAACCAAATTGATATGTATCGTTAACAAAGTTGAGTTAAAATTAAATAATAACTGGGTTTTACCCGTGTACTAGCACTATCACACCCGTCGCCGACGCTGCCGCCGAGAATCACCGATTCTTTATTTGACGACCGACTGCCAAACTCGTGTCATACTGTCATCACTCATCATTATAGTTCATCAGTTTTTCTCGTTGTCACTTTTAAATTAACTTGTTATTAGTTAATTAGTTAAATTTTAATGATGTCCGATGACCTAGCAGACTTCCTAACAGCGTGGGACTTATCCCAATATATTGATACGTTTCGAGGTAAGTTTTATCAACATACTTACACTATATACGATATACCTCGTAACTATTAAGTAGAAAATAGTAAAATTTTTACTTAAAAGTATTGATCACTGAATACTAGTATTTGTATCAATGTTACATAGTTTTAGAGGTCTTGAATACCTATTACCTAAATAGGTTATAGGTATAGAAGTGGCTACATAACTTAATACTTAAGGCCGTAACTGGAAATTGATTTTGAGGGGGTTTGTTTGAGGTTATAAGCTAAAAATGTGTGTTAGATATCTGATATAAACGTACAATGTTTATTGATTATTCTAGACTACGACATAGTAGGTATAACACACATAAAATCAGGTACGGCCTTGATATACATACACATGCTAATACGAATAACCTACTAAATAAATATATGGTTTTCGGATTTTTTCTGTTTTACATAGCTAATGATATTGACATGAAGACTCTTCCATGTTTGACAGAAAATATGATAAAAGAACTGATTCCTGTAATAGGCCATAGAGCAAGATTTTTGTCAAATTTAGAGCAGTGGAAATTAATTATTCAAGGATCAATGCCTAGCGTAAATAATTGTGTAATTAATATGTTTTATTAAATTTGAATATAAAATCCGAAGTAGGTACCTACCTAGGTTGTGGGTGGCTATTTATAATAGGTAGAATACTTATACCGACACTGAAATTTCATTTTTAATTAGTTTTATAAAATTTTGTTTAAACTTAAAAAAATATCAGGTACCTAGGTACCTACCTATCTTAAATTGTTTTTATTTTAGATTAATGAATCATCATCTATTGATATTGGAACGGATATTTTATTTGTTGATGACATTTCAAGTATACCTAGCCAAAGCTCTTCAGCTGAGGTAAGTATGATTATTCAAATTATTTATATTTATTATATGTTGTGTAGAATTAGATATAGGTTATAATTTAAGGTGCGTAGAGCTTGAACAGCTTAAATCACAATATTATTTTTTTGGTGACGGGCAATGCAAGTTTTAATATGTTTATAATTTCAATTTTTTAATCACTGGGTTAGTAAAAAGTTATAATTCCCTTTGACCTATATTAGATAAAATGTTAATTAATACCAATTAATTAAACTTGCAAGAGAATTACAAAATTTTTATATATACAGTATTAAATATGTATATTATATACATTACACACATAGGTACTTAAATCTGAATAATTTATAAACAAATTTGAGATCAAACATTTTTAAAACAATTAAGTAATAATATAACACTACCATTTTAAAATATAATTACTTAAATTAATTTTTTTTTTTCATAATATACCTACTCAACAATATTATAATATTAGTGTACCTACACTAAAATCTTAATATTGTATGCAAAAAATTAAGATCAAACATATAATAATATTATAACTTAGTGATTAAAATAACAACAATTTAACAGCTGTATCATAATGAAAAAGCAAACTTATTAATAATAAATACAACTAAATAAATTTTAAAATGAATAAATTATATGAAAAATTGTCAAACCATGTTCAAAATTAATGAAATAACTGACAATTTACTACCTATAACATTTTGTAATTTGTACCATAAAAAAAAAAAGTTGAGTTTATGTTTTGTTTTTACTCCTTATTTGTCTTTTATATACTACCTAATACAAATGTTTAATATTTTTATATTATTATGTATGTTAATTAATAATCATTAATAGAGACCAGAATTTCAAATTATCATTATGGTGCATACACTCAGTATATGAACTCAAAAATGCTTATAATTCCAGTCTCTAATTATTAATTATGCTGGTTATAATTTAAACTGACATGTATTTAAATAATATATAATTTTGTTTTTTTTTTTAGTCTGTTGATCTCTCAAATCTTCCAAATCTCTCAAATATCTCATCATCATCTAAACCTACAGTAAGTCAAATTAATTGTAATATAAATTAAATATACTAAACAGACAAATCCAATGTCATCGTAATAGTTTATCCATTTCTATATTTATGAGTCTTTCAGCTGTTTAGTATTTTAAGTGTTAACTGCTACATCTGACTTAAAATTCTAAGATAACTTTTTTTTTGAAATTTTGATATTTCATTTTTTTTTTTTTGATCAACAGTTTATCAGTAGAATCCATTTAAAGTCGTGAGTAGGAAGGTATCATTAAACTAAACTATTGATAAAATAAAACAACATAAAAAAAAAAAATTATCTTTTAAAATATTAAGTCAAAAAGAGTGGTTGCCGTTTAAGAAAAACATTTTTATATTTGTAATCAAATTAATTACTATATTAATATTAATTTATCAATATTGATATAAGTACTCATTATTACAGTTGCAGTTGTTATAATTTTTTTCTTTTTTTTTTTCTAGGAACTTTTAGATTTGCTTAAAACTTCTAATGAAGGAAACTCTTTATTAGCTAGTTACCAAAAAAGTGGTCTATTAGACAGCATTGGACGCAGACGTCTTTGTAGTTTAATTATAAATAATGAATTAAGCGCTGATGTTAATGCCAGAATTAGTTCATTCAGATTACAAGAGCTTGCCTATCAAATAACTTTAGTCTTCAACAAAGAACGAACACCAACATATTTCATACCATACTTATCATATGGACCCGGGTTAAAAAGAGCTGCAAAGGGTAAGCTATTCGATTGTCTTAACAATCGGAAAAGAGAGTTTCGTAAATCTGGGATTATAAGATCATCAAGAAGAAATTCAACAACTTCATCTTCATCTGGTCGTGCTTCACCAGCTGTATTACTCCCAGAAACACTACAACATTCATTAGAGAATCAGGTAGAAGAAGCAACTGTTGAAGAAAGTTTGAACTGGCTGCGCAATTCAAGTGATCCTTGGACACTTGTCGAACAACATTGGTTATTAACTGCTCTCACTCGTTTAAAAGTACAATTGTCAAAGGATGGACAATCCATTGCATCCTATATGGCTGAATATCCGGCATTAAAAAGACCAACAGGATATTTTCTTGTGAGTATAAACGGTTTATTGTTTAGATTTTATCTACTTAGTAAATATAATTGCTATGTTAACAGATTTTAAAAGATTTCAATGTGGTGTATCCTAAGTATTCTGACAATTTGTATCAAAATCTGCCATTGTGTAAAAAAAGAATATTTGAATTAGCTGCAAAAAAATTAGAGAAAACCAAAGAAGTTGCAATTATTCAGACTTTGAAAGAGTACATACAATTGGGAGTGGAAGGTTGGTAGTACACTTTAAAGTTTGTCTTATGCATTATGTATTGAATATAAATTTAATATTTTTGTTATTTACAGGTAATGAAGAATCTTCAAACATTGCTGCTTTTTTAAGTCTCCCTTTCCTAATTGCTTCGGCCATTTCTAGAGGAAAAAAATCAAATACTCAATGGAAAGCTTCAAAACTTGAAGTAAGAGACGGATTCATTACACATGTCAAAAGCAACGCTGAAGTACAGGAAACAATAACACGTAGAAGAGAAAAATTTATCGGTTTGGGTCACACTTTACAACCATTCATTATAATAGTTGGTCCTACTCTAAACAATATTTTAAACTATTTTGTTGTTGTTGATGATACATTTTATCAATTAAATTCCATAATTGATTCAGTAGACTGTTGCTTCAAAATAATAATAACTTTCAATGCAGAATATCCAGTTGAGTGTGAAGTGATTTGGCACTTTATTCAAAAAGGCTTATTTAAATTAGAAACTCCATTTGACAAAAACTTTACAGCTGTTAATGCTTTTATTTCTGATATTGGAATGTAATAATTGTACTTATTATTTATTATTTAAAATGTATATTTCAATATAATTCACATCTTTATTTGTTAATAAGTTAATTTAACAATATTAAATAATCTTTTTACTTTATTATACAAAAATGCCTAAGTGTTTTTTATGTGAAAAAGATTTTGATAACATCAAAAGTCTTTTTAAACATTTTGATATTCAACACTTCAATCATGAATTTAATTTTTATCAATGTAATGAAGCAAAATGTACAAGATCATTTTATTTAAAAAATTCTTTTCGTAAACATTTAGCAAAACACTCAATTGATGATTTCATACAGCCTTCTACTATTCAACCATTAGTTTCTTCTATTTCAACCTCAGAATCTACACTTAAATATTTTGATTCTGTTCCTAATTCTGCTGAAAAATTGAATAACAAACAATTTATTGAACCAAGTGAAATTTTGAATAAAACAATAAGTAATTTTCTCTCAATTTTGTATGCCAATTCTATTATATCGAGAAATGTTGTTCAAATTGTGGTCGATGGCATGGAAACTGTTTTTTCCGAGGGTATTGTTGCTTGTATAAAGACATATATTCAACAAATGATATTTGAAGGCAAAATTTCCGAAGAAAATTTTAATATTTTCACCAACATTTTTAATATGATTGAAAATTCATTTAGTAATTTTAAAACCGAACACAAACGTTTCTCTTATTTTGCTGAACAAGGTTCATTTGTTAAACCCAAAGAAAAGATAGTCGGTCAAAGGTTAAATACTGTTATGAAAGGTGGTATTTCAGTTTTAAAACCCTTCAATTGCACAGAACAATGTATTCCACTTAGGAGCGTATTAAAAAACTTTTTTTCACTCGAAAACGTACTAACTGAAACTCTAGATTATATGGCTAGTTTAAAAAATGAAAGTGGGATTTTAACTAATTTTATACAGGGCACTTACTGGAAAAGTAGAATGATAAAACATGAAGGACGAATTGTGCTCCCACTTTTCATGTTCTTTGATGATTATGAAAGTGGTAATGTTCTTGGAAGCCATTCGGGCATTCATAAATTAGGTGCAGTATATGTATCAATTCCGTGCATACCACCTCATCGTACAACATTGTTGTCAAACATTTTCTTGGCTTTGCTTTTTCACTCTTCTGATAGAGTTCAATTCGGAAATAAAGTAATTTTTAAACCTATAATTGATGAATTTAATTTTCTGATGGCAAATGGTGTGGATATAGATATGCCATTTTTCACAGGTAAATTATATTTTGAGTTAGGACTTATTTTGGGGGATAACCTTGGTCTACATTCAATTACTGGTTTTGTCGAAAGCTTTTCCTCTAATTTTTGTTGTAGAATTTGTACAATGGGAAAATCAGATATAAAAGTTAAATGTTACGAAGACAAATCTCTCTTAAGAAATAACGAACAGTATTTTAATGATTTAAAAAAAAATGATTTGTCTGCAACAGGATTAAAAGAAGAATGTATTTGGTTAAATGTTACAGATTTCAGTTTATTTGATCAAGTGGGTGTAGATATCATGCATGATTTGTTAGAAGGCTGTGCTAAATACATTATGAGTTTTATTTTAAAAAGCTACATAAAAGAATTAAAACTTTTTTCCTTAAAAGTATTGAACGACAGAATATTTGCTTTCGATTATGGACCAGAACACAACAAACCATGCATTATATCTATGGATCATATAAATGTAGGGAAAATGAAACAATCAGCATCTGAAATGTTAACTTTTATCAGATATTTTGGCTTACTTATTGGTGATTTTGTGCCAGTAGGTGAGCCAATTTGGTACCTGTATTTATCCATGCGCAGAGTTTTAGATATTGCATTGTCAACATCACTCGAAGAAAATAGTTGTTTGTTATTAGAGACTGTCGTGGGAGAAATGAATGAACTTTATTTAAAATTGAGTAAAAATGACCTTAAACCGAAATTTCATTTTCTTACTCATTATTCCTCAATGATAAAAAAACATGGTCCTGTTGTTCACTTATGGTCAATGCGGTACGAAGCTAAACATAGAATTTCCAAAATTTCTGCAAGATCCTCTTTTAACAGACGTAACATTTGCATGAGTTTAGCTATAAAGCACCAATTACAGTTAAATGAAGTATTTAACAAGGGGAAGTTATGCAGCACAATTAATGTTGGACCTAGGAAAATATTAAATTCCTTAAAAATTGGTGAAATAAAAACTGAATTCAATCTTAGTAGTGATGAACAATTAGTTCGAGTTAGTTGGGCAGAAATTAAAGGAACTCGTTATAAAATCAATAGCATATTAACTAGAGATGTAGATGATGAAAACCCACAATTTATATTAATAAAAGATATTTTTCTTAATGGGTCTGAAAGAATCATATTTGAGTGTTGTATGTTTACTACAATAGGGTTTAATGAACAATTTTATGCTTATGAAGTTGAAATCCATGAATTAAGTAATTGTTTTATTTTCCAAGACTCATTAATTTCTCCTATACCAAATACTTTAAATGTTGTGTCAAATGGAGCAAAATATGTGACAGTTCGTGATCCGTTGTAATTTTTTTTAAATATATACATATTATACCTATTACAGAATAATTTATTATTATTATCAAGTTAAATTTAACATAGGAGTCAATATAATTTATTATAATTGTAAAATATGTTCATTTGTATTATTTTATAATTTGGCCAATTAATTTGTTTTTTGTTTTCAAACATATGACATATTATATATCTGAATAATATATTGCATTACTCAGATGTTTTTCACTTGCATATTTTGAAGTATTAGTTTACTTTATATACATAATATAATAAGAGTATTTAAAGTTTAAGATTATTTTGTTTTTTAAACTGTAAACTATTTGCTGATATACATCATATTATGATTTTTCTAGTTAAACTTGACATAGGAGTCAGTATAATTTATTATAATTGTAAAATATGTACATTTGTACATATTAGTTAATTTGCCTATTAATTTGTTTTTTATTTTCAATCATATAACATATTATATCTGTAAATATATTACAGTACTCAGATATTTTTTACTTGCTTATTTTGAAGTATAGTACTTTATTTTATATACATATTATGTGAATATTTAAAATTTAAGATTATATTAAAATAGATCACAAATATTATCTCTCTATCTTATATTTAAACTGTAGTGAATATTTTAAATAAAATAAATATATTTTTTATCTGCATTTTGATTATTGGTATACGTATATTAACTAAAAAGTTTTGTAACTATAACGAATAAAAGTAAATTTAAACTTAACAAAATATTCTGTACATGTAATCAGTTAATGGAGTAATGGTAACAAAACAAATACTGTAAAGGTAACTAAAAATTGAGTACCAATAAATACTAATTTAAGTATTAACAACAAAATTATTAGTTGTGAATGAAGAGTAAGTTTGTAAGTACCACAAAAATTACTTGAATCAATACAAACATGCCCTGTTATAGGTACAAAATGGTGTGTCATACTAAATATTCAATTATGTTACAAATACTAATTATTTTGTACATGTAATCAAATGTATTCAGTTACAAGTGCTTAATATATTGTTCCTCCAACAATATATAATCAACAAAAATCAATTTGTACACTTAACTGAACTTAATGTTGTCACTGAGGCAACTAAATTTCACAGCTACCACTACTAAGTTTTGGTTCCTACAACAATACTTTTTTTTCAGTGTATCATGGCCTATCTAAAATTGTTATTAGTTTTATCATGAGTGGTATCATGGCCTATCTAAAATTGTTATTAGTGGTAGGTATCATGAGTGGTATCATGGCCTATCTAAAATTGTTATTAGTGGTATCATGAGTGGTATCATGGCCTATCTAAAATTGTTACCAGTTGTATGTTATGTAATCATGGCCAATCTAAAAATATCGGAACTACCACCAATAATAGAGAGCCGTCAGCAACCAACGACTCGATGAAGTTAGTATTACTAATATTATAATTATTATTGACAATAAGATGAAACTTTTTAGACTTAATTAGTGTCTAAAGGTATACCAACATTCAAAATTCCTAACAAAAAAACAGTTTTTTCGACGATATAATAAATCAACAATAAATAATGACGTATAACCATTGTGGTAACTGGATGTCGAAAATATTTATCTTATGGTCATATAATAAAATAAAAGCTACATAAAAACAAATACATTATTTTGTGTGAATATTTTATGCAAATAAAAAAAAAGGTGGGTAAGTGGATGTCGCTCTGCTGTACAGTAGGTTACAAGTGGGTCACTGTATAATGGATGCTATTAAATTTGAATTCAATGATACAATATCATTGTATAAGAAAAACGATTCTGAGCGAAGACGGTATGTCAGTCTAGGTTTAAGACATATTATATACATATCTATGGTATTAAAAAAAATTGACCTATACCTAATAAATTCCAAATTAATCATATCACAATATCCATTAGGTACTTATAATGCGTTATACACCAACAACAAACCCTGATACTATCATAGATATATATAGTAGATTACTTTAGAAATTTCAAGTACCCACGAATAATATTATACAATCACAACAAAATAACTAAAATCGTAATTCTTGGTTTAAGTATGAAATTTTGTCTAAACTTGAAATTAAAATGTCTGTAAAAAATAACTATGCTCATATATTTTTTAGATTTTTTGGTTACAGTATGAACTATTTATGAGAATCTTTTTTTTTAAATTTTCAATCCTTAGCTATAAAAACTGAACATTTTATAATTTATTAATTACGATGATTGATAATTTTCGAGATTTTGATAAATTTTGTCAAAATGCGATCTTTAAATGCTTATAAAAAAAAATTTTGCCTCTGTATTTTTAATATTTTTCAATTGCTATTGTAACAATATATCAGGAGCCTTGTATTAATTTTTTACACTTTTTGGCCCAACAGATAAAACTTTATTGATATTTATAGAAAAAAAAACTAAAAAAATTGAAAACTGAAAATGTCCGTAAACGGCTCAAAAGGAGTCAAAATATTTTCAAAATTGTATGGTGTATAGTAAATGCTAATATAAACTTTCAGTGAAATTTTCATGTATCTACAGTAATTCGTTTTTGAATTACAACAAAATAAGGAAATCGCCACATGAGAAATCAAGTGAATATGTTGTAGAAATTTGAATTTCAAACACTCATAAAAATTTAATTTGACTTGTCGATATTATAATACGTTGTAGAGTTATTTTATCCTAATCGTGTGCTTGCCCTCTTAATATTGTTTAAATAATTCGTTTAGATTTTCACATTACGTCACTACCTACGTCGGTAATATAAATATTAAATAGGTACGTTTAATATACACTATTGACTTATGTATTGCCTTAACCTAATAGTTAAGTCTACATTATACAATAATGTAGATATAGATTATAATAGCAGTAAATAGGTAGGTCTTGACGATCTCGCACCTCTCGCTACTGTTACATGCAGATAGTGCCATATTTATGGAAGGACAAATGGGACATTTGCACTGGGCCCACTCATAAGAGGGGCCCACCGACTTCCAGTATACAAAATTAATTGTATACCTTTTTATCATACTTTGGGAAAACCAAATAGATTTGGTTTTACCGTACTTTGGAAAAACCAAATAGATTTGGATCTTAGTTTGATATTTTGGTGGGTTATAAAGTATGAGTTTTCCCTGAAAACGACGACCTTAATCAACTTTGCTGATTACAAAATCTAATTGCTGTTAATATAGTTAGAATATTATTATCGTCGTAATAATATTACTATTGACGTTATTGTATTGCGTAGTTACGTGATACACGTAAGTCGTATTTATTGTGTATCTATTAATTGTCATTTGTTTATTATTTTTAATAATTTAAAAAGTAAAAAAAATAATTAAGTGGTTCAATGAAGAAAACATTAAAGAATAAACGTCATGAAGAAACAAAAAAACTTCACGGTAGTTAAGATAAATTTAGGTTTAGAACTAGTTTATCTACTAGCGCACAATCGAAATGTTTGTGAATACTGATTAGATGAAATCAAATTTGACTTAAACATTAAACTTAAAAACATTTAATTTGATATATAAGTGTAATAATCAAAAATTGCTTTTTAATTTGTATATTTACTGGAATAAATTACATACAACATTAATTTAAAAATACAAAATGCATACATTGTATTTTAGCATTGAAGAAAATAGAGAAGGACAATTTAGGGCCCAAAATTGTAAATTGTACTGGGCCCATAAAGGGGCAAATCAGGCCCTGCATGCAGCCCTTCAGGGATCCAAAAGCTGATGTACTTTTATAATAAACAACAGTCAAATTAGAATAGTAATCAAATGTATTTTATTAAACCAGATAAAATAAGCAGAACAGTCGTGTTGATTGTGTAGTTGAGTGAATTGCAGCTTGTTCTAGAATGATAATCTCCGTGTATGGTGTATGTGTGATGGTTGGCGGCTAAGCGAGTAAGAGTAAGTTTTAAATTTCCCAATAACTTAACAGATAATTATTAAGACCATGAAATATTAAGTAATATAATTTATAGGTAATAATAATATATGATAAATATTATAATATATGATTTCAGTATTAATTCTGTGAAATTATATGATGGACATCTTAACGTATGGAAGACTATAAGTACTCCTGTTTTTGTTCATCATTATTCAAGTATCATACAATTTAAAGATCGAGTATATGTAGTAAGTCAAATTGTCTATGTAATAATTTATTATAAATTTAAAACTTTCAAATTCAATAATACTACTACTGACTACTCTATTAAAATGTTAGTAATAAAAAAATTGTTATGTATTTATTTAAACTAAACTTTGTTAGGTTGTGTATCATTTTAGATTATGAGCGGAGTGATGAATATTATATTGAATTAACAATGATGTGCTTTTTATTTTTATCTGTAGACACTTTTTATAGTAGAAAACCTGCTTTGATTTAAATTTTAATTAAAGAAAAAGAGGAATTATTATACAACTTGGTTTTCAACAAAATCGATTTTGTTTATTGTTGTAACTCAAAAATGAATATAACAACCTATATAGGTTTGAAATGTTTAACGAATATTCATATTAGCATTTAGTAGACATAAAAAAATATAAAAATATGTTGACTCTTTTTGAGCTATTTGTAGGCATTTTACATTTTTGTTTTTGATTCTGAGCGGAGCGATTAATGTTTTGATTTTACAATGATGTGTGTTTTTTTTTTTAAATTTTTTTTTTGTGTCTTTCATCACCTTTTAGGACAGTAAAAGTGCTTAGGTTTTCTTCAACAATATTTTTTCTGATAAGAAAGTGAATCTATAGTTGGAACTTTGGTGGGTCAAAAGTAAAAATTTCCTAGAAGTTACTTATAACGTACCGGACACTGTATTAATAATAAGTAATAAATAATATAAATATGATATAAAATATCCATACTGACAAACCGGCCGTTTATACCAGTGGTTTTCAACCTGGGGGTCGCGAATGATAGATTTGGGGGTCGCCAAAAATAATAGATGAAATGATTTTTCTATTTTATTTAAAAATAAAATAAATTTAATTTTTAATTTTGTTTTATATAGAGAATTATAGATTATAGAACATGCTGAGGAGCGTATAATCTTAATTTCTTATATATTATCTTATCGATAGCGGATATGGATTATTAAATTGTTCGTAACTCGTATCGTATACATAGGTATATTTGAACAATTTCAGTCGCAAATATTTATAATAATCAGTTCCTACTTAGGTGTCATTCGTGCAGTACATGTATCTCACGCGCATAGGCGGTACTAGACCCTCTTGGCAGGAAGGGCCAGAAAATATTTAAACTATCTAACTATATGTTGGGAAGGGGGGGGGGTCGTTAATGGGTGACTTCCCCTTAACCCCAATAAAACCCCTTCCAATTTACTCATTGAATAATTTTGTAAATAAAAATTATAAATATAAATAATAAAAACATTTAAATTTAAAAAAAAACTATTTATATTTTACTATATTAGTCCAAATTTTTAGGCTAGTAATACCTCATACTAAAAAAAATAACATGAATTTTTGTACAGTATATTTCATTATTTATTATAACTCCATGCGTCGCTAAGCAAATTTCGTATGGAAAAAAAAATATATATATTTTTTTAGAGTTAGGAAACCGAGATTTAAGGAATTATGTATTAATACAGGTACGGTTCGCAGGAGGGGCAGTTGCCTACTCTGCCACCCTCGTAGTACCGCCTATGCTCACGCGATATAAAGTACGAAAAGTACACGAAAGTACACGAAAAAAGTTGGGATGGATAAGAAATCCATTTTCTATTAATATAAATGAAATGAATTCTGAATTAAGTTTAGTTATGAACGAGGAATTAATTGAGTTATCTGCCGATGAAAATCTGCTTACCTATAAAATTTAATGAAACTACAAGTGATAAATTTTGGATTTCTATAAAATCAGAATACCCAGAATTGTCAAAAGTAGCTGTATCAACACTTCTGCCATTTGCAACCACTTACCTTTGTGAAACGGCGTTTTCAGCTCTTACAGTTATAAAAAACAAATATCGGACAAAATTAAACTTAGAATCAAATCTAAGAGTTGCAGTCTCTAATATAAAACCTAATATGGAAACAATCATTTCAAAAGCTCAAGCTCAAGTATCCCATTAACAACAGTTTATGTATTATGTATTTTTTATATATTTAAATTTATTGTATATGCTTGTATTGTTTTAAAATAATGTTGTATTATGAATTAATTAAATTTTTAAGTGTAAATTAATCAAAATCGTATAACAAATAAAATTGTCAAGCCTTTCTATAAAAATCGAACTTTTTCGTAAATTTGCAGACGAGTTTAAATTTTAACTTTAAAAGTTTTCATAAGAAACTTTGACCATGTAGTTTGAGAAAAGTTATTAATTGATACATTAAAAACGTCCTATAATTAAATAAAAAATAAAATAAACCTATTGAATTTAAATTTAATACTATCCATTATACAGTGACCCACTTGTAAACTACTATACAGCAGAGCGACATCCACCTTTTTTGGTTGTTTTTTCTTTAAACGTCAAAAACATTTTTTGCTCAGTCAAAAATTTAAAAATTGAATATAACCTTAATTATAGGACGTTTTTAATGTATCAATTAATAACTTTTCTCAAACTACATGGTCAAAGTTTCTTATGAAAACATTTAAAGTTAAAATTTAAACTCGTCTGCAAATTTACGAAAAAGTTCGATTTTTATAGAAAGGCTTGACAATTTAATACAAGGTTCCAAATATAATATAAAATATAAAATATAAGTATAATTATATAAATATATTTTTATAAGCGTCTGTAGTTTAAATTTGGAGATATTACGATTTATTTATCCAACCAATTTAGTTGTAGGTAGCAAGAACGTACTTAATTAATAAAATATTATGAATCGTAAGATCTTCAAGCATTCCACTGTTACCTACCTACATAAATTATAATTTATTGTACTCAATACAATTTTCAAAATATTTAGATAAATTATAAGCATTGGAAATAGTCAAATTTATTTGTAGTATTGATTAAACATTTTATAGGTTTGGTTAAACAATTAAAAAGCTTAAAAATTTAATAGAAGTTCCTTATCGTCTCCGCTAAGAATATATTTTCGTATGCAATGATTTATCACTGAGTTAAAATTTAAAACATCGATTAACTAAGCATGATTTAGATGAATAATTTAAAAATAATAAACCAATGTAATATAATATTGCTAAACACTTTTCTTAGATGTCTACCAGAGGTGTTGAGTATTATGATATTCTAAGTGAAACATGGCAAGAAGTTAAGTTTAAAATAAAAGAAGCTGAAAGTCTAAAACTTGCAGTAGTTTCAGATTTAATTTATGGTGTAAGTTAAACAGTTTTTATGCAGTACATTTGTGAGGTTGGAATTAAATACAAGTGAGCTCTACTTAATGTGATCACTAGTTTATAGTATCAAGTTCAAGTACCTATCAACCATTTATTTTAATAAAAAAATAAAAACTCAAAATATAAATTCATAACAATATTATGATTGTATTGTTGTAATATTAAATTGACTTTTTAACTAAAGTTTAATTTACCACGCTCCTCAGTCCTCGAGATTTCGAGAAAAAAATTGTTGGAACTTTCAACTTAGGTAGGTGCGTATTTCCTAATGTAATGGTTTGTAAAATTGAAACTGTACAATTGGTTTGTAAAAATATGCAATTTTAATAACAATGATAACGCTCGTATTAAATGCTGAATTGGCGAACTTCATAATAAGTCCAAGTGACAGATTATGTTTGTAACACTTTACGCTGTTCTTAAAATTGGAAGTTCCATCAGTTTTTTTAATTTCACTTGTAGTAAGCCACACTTGTACCATCAATCGTTTGGGAATTGGGCCACATGAGCTTCATGTGTTTGGCCGAATCACCTTTTTACCCGTATAATTAAAAGTTAACGAAATGCGTTTGGGCGAGTTTAATGTGTTTTTTAAAGAGTACCTAAGATACAATATATAAGGTAAAGTTGTAAAGATTTAGATAGAAATATTATATAAATTCTATAGGGAATATTATATCAACCTAAACTTTAATTATTCGCAATCTTATATGCAGGTCATTAAGGTCGAGCAACTAGTAAAACTCTCTTATATTTTAAAATATCAGTTTTGCTTGAACATTGAAAATGGGAACTCGTATTATAATGTTAGTGTGTACGCGTGTAGTATACTATATTATCATGGATCTTAAAAATAAATAGGTACATTTTTAATAGGAAATTAAATTTACGATGTATTTCATTAAAAATTATTTTTTTAGTGACCCTATAACCACTTGAAAAACGGGTCTTTTCGTTTTCGGTGTACCAACCGAAAATATACTGTGAGTTTTTTAGTGAATTCTACTATTGAATAATAATGAATCGCGGAAAAAAGCCCACGGAAAAAAAGCCCAGAAATAGAAATAGAAATGTGAACACATGTATACTCTACTCCTAATGACCTAATTAGTAATTACCATATACCTATAACAAAATATAATTAAATATTATATATTATAATGAAATGAATAATTAATTGTTAATTGTATAAAATATAGATTGTAAATCAAATAAAAATATAAATATGAACACAATATTATGTATACGTCATGATTTATTGTGTTACAAGTTATGAGTCAAAAAACATCAGTCTTAGGTATATACATAGTACAATAATTTATAAATCAAAAAACGTAAACCTTATACTAAAATGTATAGAAAAATTACAAAACCGGAGGTAATTTAATATATTTAGAGAGCAGATAATAATCATAAACGTCAGTCAATATATATATATATAAATATAAATGTGAACACATGTATACTGTACTCCTAATAAAAAATTCAAAAATATGTACATATATAATATGTATTTAATTTTTACCATTACTAATTAGTAATTACCAATCTATATTTTATACAATTAACAATTAATTATTAATTTCATTATAATATATAATATATAATTATATTTTGTTATAGGTATATAGTAATTAGTAATTAGGTCATTAGGAGTAGAGTATACATGTGTTCACATTTCTATTTCTATTTCTGGGCTTTTTTTCCGTGGGATTTTTTCCACCTACCAATAATAATAGGTAATTAGTATTAATATACATTATCACGAACCAACTACAGATCATAATTCAGCTGTTCAGTGTGTTAGGACTGCCGTCAAAAGAAAAGCCAAAGAAGTAAGTAATTCCTATGTAAGGAAATTATTCAAGATACACTAATCTCGTTTTTAAGTAGGTAATAGTTAATAATGATGTTATATTAAACTATGAGTTAGTCGCCTTATGGAATACAAAAAAAAACATTTTCCCTGACTTTCCACAACTAGGTACCTACTGATGAGAGAGAATACCTATGGATTAATAAAATACTGCCCAAACGCTATCAAAAATATTAAAAAAGGTCGCTTAAACACATTACAATGTTTTAAAATTACTTGCCCAAACGTATTATGCTAAATTTCCTAAACACATTGTAATTTTAAAATTCGCCAAAACTCAAACAGACCCCGCCGGTACGACGCCAGATTGTCAGAAAGTTAGTCAATGACGACCCGATATCTGTTATATATACATAATATGATATACATTTATGGAGCAATTTCCTATACCCTTCAAACATACATTTTTTTCTGGCACAATACCAGGGTAATTAAATATAAAAAAATATTCTATACGAAGTAGGTAGATAAAATGTGGCCCAATTGCCGATCACTCATTGCAACACCTTGTGACATTCTCATAAATACTTTTTAACAATCGAATAATAATTTTTTATTTTAAGGTTTGCATTACGAAAGCTTTTTATTATAATCCAAAAACCGACTTTGGTCAATTAATATGTCCTTTCACCACTGATATTGATATACATCAAGTGTATTCAATTTTTTCATTTATTAACCAATTGTATATTATTGGTGGCAATAATTCAAATAATAATAATTATATTATTTTTGAAAAGTACGTTCCAAAAACTAATACATTTGTTAGAATTAGTCGCATACCAAACAAATCAAAAATACCAGGTAATATTTAAAAATAAATAAATATTCATTGAGCTGTCAAACTAATTTTTAATAGTTTTAAATAAATTAGAAACTTATTATAACTTTACCTTTATTTATATTTTATTTTTATTAATTTATTTAATCAAATCATTTTTTTCTATTTGAGTAGGTATGTTGACGAACAGTTTATTGCATAAATAAACTCCACACTTAGATTGTTAAGAATGTTATCTAAAATTCACTGATTTCAAAATTATATTCATTTAAAGGGAAATGCACACTTTAATATATATATTGTAGATTGTAGAATTTTAGATTATCAACAAAATTAGGTAGTTTAAATATAACATTTATGTTCTAGGTGTTATTGAACTGAACAGAAAACTATACCTGATGGGTGGTGATGATTGTAATTCTATTCAACTCTACAAACCTAATTTTAACTATTTTGAAGCTGTGGAAGGATTATACCTCAAATCTTCAATACATTCTAACACACAAGCATTTGTAATTGATACAAAAAGTATAAACCTAAAGAACATTTTGAAATATTGTTCCAATAATGAAATTTAAAGCTTTAATTAAGAGGACGCCACACCCTCTGAGACGACTGTCTCCGTCCTACAAGTGCGTAACATAGCAAATTTAAGCTCAGCAGATTACATTTAGCTACGTTAGTTTAAAAATTAAAGTGAATCGACCTATCATGTAACTTGATGGTAAGAACATTATCTGTGTGCATATGTTAGTTTTTTACGATAGTTCAATTTTTTAGCTAGTTATGCGTACTTAATATAGGGTAAATTAAAAATGCTCATAACTCACTTAAAAACTGAATAATTGTAAAAAACTACGATCACTCTATAATTTTTAAACTGACGAAGCTAAACATGATTTGTTGAGAGTAAATTTGGTATGTTTGTAAGACAGAGACAACTGCAGATGCGGGTGTGGCGTCCTCTTAATAGGTACCTTTATATATTTTTATTTTTAGTAATAAAAAAAATACCCGATCAAATTTTAAAAATAACTGTACCTATGTAAAAAAAAATAAAATATTATTTATTTATTTTATTTTTTATCTTATTAAAAATAATTAACTTATTTATTTAAAATAGTATAAATTTGTAGAGGTAAAATATTATTCATATTTAAATTATATAAATTCAATATAGGTATTACATTTTTACCTGCTTGTAGTTTATAACAATTAACAACCCATTGTTCCAGAATCCACAATTGTTTTTACTTGACTTTCATAAACAACTCAAAAGTTACTTAAAAACTTTACTTAATACTCATCTCATTTTTGTATGATACTCTAAAAAATAGTAAAAAGATTACTGATGCGTTATGTTTATTATAACATTATTTGTGTAATGTATAGATACCATCGTACCGAATTCATGTATTAGGTATAATAATATATTCGGCTATAAAATTTAAAACCGTATCTAAATAATAAATATCATATTATGGTATCGTCGTATGTATTGATGAATATTAAGATTACACCGCAGCACTCAGAATAGAGAACAAATTACACTGAACATAAAATTAAAAATATCCATATTACATTATATACCTATCAATTTTATCTATATTAGTAGTTAATAAATCTCATTAGAGCATATTTTTCAGTCATCAAAAATTCACAATATAATTATATAGATTCAAAATTAATTGTTATGCAATATACCTAGATACAAACAAAAAATACCTATATAAAATAAAGTATTTAATATATCAAAAATGCCCATCTGTTGAATAATGATCTATATTCATATAATATTGTGGTTTGTAGAAGGTAGATTATTTCAAAACTGGGTGTCGAGAAATATTTCTAACATAATCATATAATAAAATAAAAGCTACATAAAAAAAATACAATTATTAGTATATTTTGTGTGGCTATTTAATCTAAATTAAAAAACAGAGTTGCGTTATTCAAAATCACAAAGCTTATACTATCCCTTAGGCGACGAGTTGGGATTGGAAAATAAAAAAATTAAACCCACGGTGACAAGTATAATAATAATATATATACACAACGTCACAGCTACAACACACAGTCCAATGTGGTCGGACGTCTATATAACAATTCGTCACAATCAAACCTTTTTTCCCCGAGAATAAAACAACCACGCAAATCTCCACATTTACAACATTTCTCATTCCATCAGTTTTATCGTTGCAAGACGACCATGTCGCTGCAGCGGTACGCTTTTTGCGTAGTATTACTCATCAGAGCATTGCTTGGCTGCAGAGCTTCGCAGTTTTTTACTGTTGATGAAGAATTGAATACCGTCCGAGATCTGGAAAACAGAATACTGGATTTAGTCGACTCGACGATACGGTATTATTTAAGACCAGACGTTGGTAATGATAATGTGGACTTAAATTTAATGCTTGGGGTATCCATAATGAAAGGTAACGGATATTTATTTTGTTTTCGTTTAATGTATAATAATGTAATGATGGCTGTTGTAGTATAAATGAATGTGAAACTGTGAAAGTGCTTGCATTGAGAGGTGACGCTTGAGTCCCTTATTTTTGTAGAAAATATTTATGCTTACCCATTCTTATTATATCCAAATCAATAAGATATTTCAATATTCAAGTACGCACATATTAATTACCCTTTTCCATCCCCCTTCTAATTTTTTTCAAATTCAAGGATTGAGTATATAAAATAATATTATTGACATATTGTACATAATATAGGTAAGTATCTATATAATAATTATTTATTTACTATTATTTACCTACATATAAGTACAATAAATCAGGGTAGGAGATACCAAATACGAGATAATTTAGTACCTATATGTCCTAAAGATTATAGGTTCCTGTGTATTTAATTTTTATTGAACACGTATTATAAATTAGATACCTTTATTATGATTTATAAATCTTGAGTCGTAGGTTTTATTGGTAGGTGTACATATTTCGTCGAGTATTATATATTTGTGTATAAGTATTTAATAGTAAATATTAATACATATTAAAAATTAACCGACATAGAATATTACTCAGATTTTTAACTAGCCTTAGAACAGTCAATAAATAATATGTCCATCATAGGCGCAAATAGGAGGGGGGCTAGGGGGCTTTAGCCCCCCTTGAAGTTTCTATAGCCCCCCAAAAACTAATGATTTCACTACTATAATTTAAAACCATCATAAGAGTTTCAAGTATAGACCTGAGCTTCAGCCCCCCCAAATTTCAAACACTATTTACGCCAATGATGTCCATGTTTTAAGTATATTATATACGGAATCGGGAATTGTAATTTAAAAATCAATTATTTACACATTATATTGTACAAACAATTATATGTATATTTTTCCTATTCATTAGGTATTATTATCTAGTTATTGTTTTTTTTCTATGTATCTATTTGGTAAATAAAGCTTTAAAGTTTTAACTAAAAACCTTTTTAGTCTACATTAAGTCATTAACTTAATAACTAGAAATAAATTTGAATATACCTACATTATGCTCTAACACATATGATTTCATGTTTGGGAAAGATTTAACACTTATATTTTAGATATTTTGCTGTATAGAAAAATGTAAAGTTTGTTCCAATTTTATCTTCGTTGTGGCCTGTGGGATTGGAGTAATGAAGTGGGTTGCATAGGATTTTACAGGCTTTGGCGTGTTTGGGGTAGGTGATCACTCGGACATAGCCAGTTTCCTCAAAAAGTATACCTTTTCCTTTCCATCAATTCACTTTTCGGCGATATTTTGTAACTTTTAAAGTCCTAATCGTATTTCATGTGTAAACATATGTAGGTACTCTATACCTGTGTATTAAAAATATTAGATGTAGGTAATTGTTATTTCCAACATTATTTTATCATTAAACAGCTCGCTGAAAAATAATTAACATATTTTCGAAAAAATATTAAACTTTGACGAATTTTGTTTATGTTTGAACCTATATCGGTGATCTTGTAAAAGCAAAGTGACTACCTGCCAGTATTTTTAAAACTATGGTAAGAACATATTGCAACTATTCAGCAACGTTGTCAAAACATTTATAACAAAAATGTTATCGTCCATAAATAGAAAAAAAAATTGTCCATTTAATTTAATAGTTTATATTTTATCTATTTATTTGTCTAATTAACAATTGGTCCACCCTTATAATAGCTACAATAATTCAATATTATTTAAATACTATTACCTATACCCTATAAGTTTTTTCAAATGCTGGTAACTGGAAAGAAAGCCCACCAATTTATGTTTTAGCGGAATAGGTAAAGGTATACTTTTGGCGGAAACGGTTAACTCCTATACAATGCTCTGGTGAATCTAATGTGAGTATTTCGTTGCAATCTTCACATATACTTGTACTGGTTGAGCCTGGTTCTTAGCTGTTTGCTGATAAGGTAAGAGATGTGTCTATTATAGTATTACACTACTTAAGAGTTGTATAAATACATGACATGACATGTCATGCCATAACATGCGGCCACTAAAGTATAATCACTGTGCACAAAACTACATTCCAAATAGATATTTTAAAAGTTTATGATAAAATAAGTTTTTTTTAAAAACTCAAGTGACTGACGACTGTGAAATAATTATTGCGAATGTAGCAGATAGCAAACATATATTTTTAATTTTTTTAGGGCCGCCATCTAATCTGCAGTGCCATGACCAGGACTTGTACACCCTGCTCTTGATTATTGTATTTATATATATATATATATGTATTGTTAACATGTATAACAACTATATTCTATAGATTGGGAAATCATGTTTTTTTAAAATATTTAATCTGTGTACATTTGTTGTACCTATAGGTCAATTTATGTCGTGTACTGAAAATTCTCGAATAAATTATAATATTCGTTTTTACAAGATGTATAAATTGAATACAATGATTAGAAATCTGTACGTGAAATTTTATAAAAACAATTTAATGGATTCAAGTAAGCCAAATATATTTGTATAGAATAATTTTAAGTACTTAGGTACCATGTGGGTACATTATATTGTTTTTTTTAAATTTATTTTTATTTTATTTCATATACATATGTGTATGTTTATACGTGTATTAATGTATTAAATTATTAAATTTTCGGCCAAAATTTACTTTTCATTTATAGGAATTAGCCAAGTCCGTTTACCTTCTCCCAGTAATGTTACATACCTATATATTTTCCACTAAAAGTTAAAACAAAAGTTTTAATGTTCAGTTTTTTGTAACCATCAGTTAAAAAATGTGTTGTGTTATAATTATTTAGCTTAAACCGAATAAATCAAAATTAATACTTTAATTAAAACATTCTTATAAATTGTATATAGGTATAATTATTACTTATGGGCACATTAATATTAATTGTAGTCTATTGATTTTTAAATTTCATATGAAATATATTTACGTTTATTACCTATAGATACATCATATTATTATGTATTTGATATTTTCATTACTTTTAACTTTTAAAATACGTTGCAAATTTAAAATCAATATTAGACATTTATTTGTTTGTATATTTTAAGTTATAATAATATAACAGTATCCATTTATTAATTAATTAAATAAACATGTATATCTATTATATTAATGGTTTAGTGCTGCACACCATATTATATAAATGTACTTTTTCCGAATGATGGGTACATTTTAAGTCTTAACTATATTATAATAATAGTTAAATAGTGTTAGTGTCAATGTGTCTAATGTATTGCAATAATAGGTAATACAATAAATTGATTTTCAGTGAGAACAATTCTCGATCATAAACTCTGGATTTCTCCAAAAACATTTAAACACAAATCAAATATTACATTGCCCTCCAAAATATGGTTCGATGAGGATATTTTAGCAAACGGTGATGCATATTTTCGCAATATTTCGGATAAATGCATTGGCCAAGTGATTTCTTCATGCAGTGTAACGTATGAATGCTTTCAACTAGAATTTCAAAAACAATTTCTCGGTTACTCGCTTACACACCAAGTGTTGTACATTCATCTTTTAAAGAGAGTGAGTGTAACATATATTTTATTTGATCATGTTTAATTTATCTAAAACTGAAGTAATCATATTAACATATTATGGTATTAATATTATATTGTATTGTTTCCGTCAGATGAAATGTAACAAACTGAAACATCGAAATTTATTAAAAAAAATAATACAGCATAAATGCAGTACAATTTTTGAAGAAGCTCAAAATATGGCCAAAGATTTTGAAATGCTGGACAGATACAAAGATTTATTCATTGAACAAAGTAAGATACTTGACTGACAACTGTTAACATTAAAATTTAAAGCCGGATTCACAGCTACATCGTGAGTCGTATACTCGTATCGTGTCGATCAAATCACATTATGATTGGGCATTACTTTTTTGGTATCATGTAATAACGAAGTGGAAATCGAGTATACCAATAATTTATAGAATTCTCAGAGCCTTTTCTATATATACCAATTTGGCGTTTTTTTACACAGAGTTTGGTGGAATCTTTTTTCTTTTTTTTTAAATTATTTTATAAAATAAGTTTATAAGTTGCTGATAAATGGTTGCCATTGGTGTCAAACAGTGCATTGTATGCTGCATTGCTGCCCTTGTATTGCGGGCCGAGGGGAATATTATATAATAAAATGATGAAAATATTCTAAGTACAATAATTTCTAGTTAAATTGGCTATAACTTTGTTAATATTGTTCAAAATGATTTTTAAAATACAACATGCACTTCTACGTAAAATGTCCAATTAGATAATATGATTGTATTTCAAACTTCATTTTTAAAAAAACCAGGCTGCTTTTTTTTCAATATAAAGCATGATACCATGAGACCATGATTTATGTTTTTAAATTGTTGTTCTTATGTAGTTGCAGTTTGTGGAATGCAAAACATGGTGGATTTCTTTCAGCCGGAATGGTTTTCAATTATTGTGTCTTCAATAAAACACAATAAGTGTATTCAACACAAAAATAACAAATCGTAAATATATTAGATTTTAATTGTTTTATGTTTAGGTTCCAAAACTTCTAACCGAATGATAAACGCATATTAGTTTTGGATATAACTATTATGGTAATGTTTTAGATTCTGAGTGGAGCGAAAGAATGTAAGTATTGGTTTACCAATGATGCCTGTCTTAGATTCTGAGTGGAAGGATGAATGTATTGATTTTACAATGATGTGTGTTTTTTTTAATTCTTTTTTGTGTCTGTCATCACCTTTTAGGACAGTAAAAGTGCTTGGATTTTCTTCAACAGTAGGGGAACACGGGGTACTTATTTTTTCTAATAATATTGTGTAAATTATCAACAATTTCGTAAAAATTATACTTCAGGGGAAAATCGATTTGGAAAAACCGATTGCTTATTAGTTTTTATAATGTTTGATAATTGCTATCTATTTATTATAGGTTAGGATTAGGTACACCAACCTAATAATCAATTATTTTATTTTATTAAGAACAACTTGTGTTGTTAAAATTTGTTTATATTTAGGTAATTTATGAAACCTTTACTACTTTCGTTACAATACTTAAATACAATGGTTATTTGTACCTATTTGGTTTAGTAAGTTCCTTTGAAAAAAAGGTTAATATTATATTGTTCTCCATCGTTATTTTAATACGGGTTATACCATGCATCGGTATTGCCCCATTACAAATCGATTTTGCCCCAGTATCGGGCCAAAACCGATAAAATATTAAAAATAATTAATGGTTTGTTAAAAAATAAATATGAATGATAATCACTGTATTATAATTCAATATTGTAAACAAGAAGTTACTTAATACAACTGTGGAAAAGATCCTGAATTATTATGAAAATATTCATTTTGTCAGTCAGTTTTGCCCCGTATTCCCCTATCTTTTCTGACAGGAAAATGAATTTAGTTGGTACTTTGGGGGGTCAAAAGTAAAATTTTAAAGTAGTTTTCAAAAGCGCCATGAAAAACAAAAGAAAAATTAAGTAAAAACGGGAATTTTTAGTCAAAATTAATTTTTTGATAAATCGATTTTGGTTTTTGGTGTAACTCTAAAACAAATGACCACAGATACTTGAAAATTTCTATGAATGTTTATATTAGCATTTTCTATACACGATAAAATGTTGAAAATAATTTGACTTTTTGTAAGTTGTTTAAGGACATCGTCAGTTTTCAATTTTTTTAGTTTTTTTTTCTGTAAAAATCAATAAAATTTTATTTGTTGAAAAAAAAAGATTGAAAATTTAATGCAATGCTCCTGATATATTGTTACAATAGCAGTTGAAAAATATTAAAAATTCATAGGCACAAATTTTTTTTATAAGAATTTAAAGTTCAAATTTTGACAAAATATATCAAATTTAAAATGTAATAATTAATTTGTAGTTAAAAATTTATAAAATGTTCAACGTTTCTAGCTAAGGATTGAAAATTCAAAACAAGGTTCCACGTAAATAGGTTATATATAAATTACTTTATTCACAATAATAATATCATCAAATATACTTTGTAATATTATATGCTGCCTGACCTTTTTCGCTCAGAATCGTTTTTCTTATAAAATTATATTATATCATTAAATTCAAATTTAACACTATCCATTACAGTGACCCACTTGTAACCTACTGTACAGCAGAGTGACATCCACTTACCCACCTTTTTTCTTTTTTTTTTTCTGTCTGTTAGCAACATTTTGGATACTAAGCATGTTTCGATTTTTGAGATCAGCATATTTTCTGATAGAAAAGTGAACCTAGTTAGTACTTTTGGGAGGTCAAAATTGAAAACTCCAATTGTAAAGACTTAAATTTTTCACAAAATTATATTAGAGTTTTCTATACACAATGTAATTTTAAAAATAATTTGGCTCTTTTTATTATAATTATTGACGTTTGAAATTGCCGACTTTTTTTCGATATGATAATATTTTTATAATAAAATGAAAATTAATAGACGAAACTTATCGTCAAATAAATCACTATAATCGCAATACGAGATTCAGATTGAACAACTACGTTTGTATTTACAATCTACCACCGCGGGAATGCATGTTTAATTAATAAATTAAATACAAATAATTAGTTAAGAATAATTGAAGTGTTTGGGTTCACCACATGCGGATACGACGGGTTTTTAAATCATAATTCCTGGAATATTTTATGTTTACTTCATTGATAGGTACATACTACAACTATATAATATTTGTTCTGTTGTTTAATGTTTTAGGTCTTGTGATTCACACTTGACAGGAGTATCATTGGCAGCTTTGGGAGTGTACTTTAAGTTTCTATGTTACAAAGTCAACAAATATGGAGCATATTGATGTTCAAAATACTATAATTATATAATATTGGATAATATACATTTACCATATTTTCATTTTGGTCATTAGGATACGAAATCAATATGGAAGATTTAAAATACAAAAATATTTACACAATCTCGTTATTACATCATAATCATTATATAATAACATGTAATAGTATGTATGTAATATGTATAATAATAAAAATATTACAAGTCACATTTTGTCCAATTAATCAGTTTGCGATATAATATACGCATTATATAATATTAGATTCTGAGTGGAACGATGAATGTATCGATTTTACAATGATGTGTATTTTTTTTTTATTTTTTTTTTGTGTCTGTTATCACCTTTTAGGACAATAAAAGTGCTCGGATTTTTCTTCAACAGTATCTTTTCTGATAGGAAAGTGCCAAATCTATTTGGCACTTTGGGGGGTCAAAAGTAAAAATTTCCCAGTAGTTTTCAAAAGCGCCTTGAAAATAAAATAAAAATTAAGGAAAAACGGGAACTTTTACACAAAATCTGTTTTCGAGAAAATCGATTTTGGTTTTTGGTGTAACTCTATAACAAATGAATGTATATACATGAAATTTTCACTGGTTGTTTATATTTGCATTTTATATACACGATAAAATTTTCAAAATGTTTTGATTTATTTTGAACTGTTTAGGCACATTTTCATTTTTCATTTTTCTTTAATTTTTTTTCTAAAAATATCAATAAAATTTTATTTGTTTTTTAAAAAAGCTTGAAATGTTAATAGAAGGCTGCTACTATATTGTTTCAAAGGCAGATGAAAAATAATAAAAATCCTTAGTCACTGTTTTTTTTTTATAAGCATTTAAAGTTCAAAAATTGACAAAATATGGAATAATCATGAAAATTTGCAAATTATTTCGAGTTAGAAATTCATAAAAATTTTTCTTTTTAAATCTAAGATTCTAAAATACAAGATTCCTTATAAAATTTCCTACATTTATTAAAACAAAAAATTCTACAGGAAGGCCAAATTAAATTTTTATGAGCGTTTGAAATTCAAATTTTTACAACATTGGATATTCACTCGATTTCTCATGTGGCGATTTCCTTATTTTGTTGTAATTTAAAAACGAATAACTGTAGATACATGAAAATTTCACTGAGTTTTTATATGAGCATTTCCTATTCACTATACAATTTTGAAAATATTTGACTCTATTTGAGCTGTTTACTGATATTTTCAGTTTTCATTTTTTTTAGTTTTTTTTTTCTATAAATATCAATTAAGTTTTATCAGTTGAAAAATATTAAAACGGTAACGGCAAGGCGGGAAGGGGGGACTGTGTCGCGTAAGACGTACAACGGTCGGCGGAAAAGGCGATTCGAGATCTACCATCGGACCGTCGGACCGATAACATATCGTCCTACGTTAAACTCATCTGCCCGAGCGGCACGTCATGTATTATTATATTTTGGTCGCAATATTATAATACATAATTTGTGACATTCTTAAAGTGTTTGTGTTGTGTTTTTTTCATCACCTCAATCCTAACCAAACACTTCGAGCGGACCACGATCAACCTTGAAGCAATCATCGTGTCCGCGTCAGTCTAAATATTAAATGTTTTGCAATTATATATTTTACTATAATTATTATTTTCCATTATAATATAATATAACAATACACTTTAAATTAAATTAGTTGTTATCAAGACAGTCTAAAAACAAACTCTTTTCTGGACGTTATCAAAACGGATTATGCTTAAAAAAATTGCACAGTTGTCATAGTAGTCAGTTGCTAGATCAATCCATGTGACATAAAATAGGAATTATTCTTGTTTTTTAAAATAATTTTATCGAAAAATATATGTAATATGTATGGCTCATACAATTAAGAATTTGTAGTTAATAGAAATGCGGATGTTTATACTTCATAGATATTTTTTTGTTGAAATCTTGAAAATAATTTAATTAAACAATCGGGTACCCATCATTATAGTATATCAATTTTATTATATTACGTGTAAAATCACCGGCACAAGGTGCAGACTGCATTTTAAAATATAAAAATTAAATTAAATATAAAATAATGTTGTAGTAGAAGTTGGAAACTGTAGTTTATTCTAATTTATAATCCAATAATTAATGTAACTATTAAATTCATCATTGAATGATTATTCAGAGATCACTTCAGGATAAATGCCAAAGGTATAAATGTAAATTAAATTGAGAACAATTAAAAAATATTTTGTGAAAGGAACAAGATTACTGCTAATATTTAAGTCTTAATTATTATTAACAAATAAATACAAATAATATATATTTTAATAGCTTTTTATTATCAACATTCAGTGTGAATAATTTCTGATTGACTTATATATATGTAAAAATCTTCTATAAAATAATTATTCATATAAAAGAAATTATAACAATTTAATGCAAGGATCTCATAAATTGATCTTACAGTAGCTTTTAAACGCCAAAAATACATTTTTACATAATTTATGCACTATACCTACCAAATAAAAATTGTACAACTTTTTAGTTCCCTATTATGGTGTTACCTACACCTAATACAAACAATAAATTATTATTCGAAAACACAATTTCGTATACCTATTATTATTTACTAAATACCTACAACTAAACTAAAAATAAACATATGATTACATTCTGAGTGCCTATAATATAATATTATATATGAAAATTGATTCTTTATTACGAATACTTATCGTTCACACAGACCACAAGAAAAAATAATTTTAAAAATTTAAACAATAACGAACACATCATTGTAAAATCAATACAGTCATCGATCCTCTCAGAATCTAAAATCTAAAATATATCAGATAAATTTAAAATTAACATATTAAATCATTATTATTATAATTTCTTATTCAGCAGTATTCGGAGAAAATGATAGACTTGGAATTTTACAATCTAGTTGGTATTATAGTCGGTACTGTAAATTTGATGCATTTAAGTAATTACTTAGTATACCTTTATGTTATCTAACTTTAAAATCCAGTAATCACATTTTTATTTAATGATTCATAAAATACAATATGCTTTTATAAAAATATGCTTGTACTTCTGCAGATATCTATTCCCCATCTTAATCAATAGTTAAATTAATAAACAAAAATAGTAATTTAAATAATACCTACATCAATATCATATTATTATAATTCAAATTCAAAATTATAAACTATTTTGATTTATTGTCACATCAAATTTCAATGAACAAATTGTTCCTTAAAACGGAACTCTTTGATATAAAAAGTTGCATTATATTATATCCGTGGATTCATCATATTGTCGTTACCTAGTATAATATAATATCTATCATTTATATTCTATGGCAAATCTCAAAGTCGTTGCAGACGATACAGTCGATTAAAAATTCTAAAATTTCAATGAGCAAAGCAGATAGGTATGAGTAAAAAACTTTTTGCGTTCCGTATAATTTTATTTTTCATAAATCATAATATTTTAAGTTCTGTATTCTCTGGAGCGTTTCGTCATCTGCGTCACAGTTCACACACATCAAGGATTCCGCCGAAAGAGTCGATAATTAAACTATTAAAGTAAGTTTGCTTTCATATTCTTTTGGGGCTTAATTTTACTTTGATTTTTTCTAAAATATATGGTAAAAAATAAATCATACTTCGCTATAAAAAAAATAATAAACATAAAATATTTTAAATTTGAGTGGAATAATTTATTATGATCATAACCACATTGACTACAGATTATTAAGCATAAGTACAGCAGTAGGTTATAGTCATTTTTGCCCAAAAAATTACATTTGAAAATGTCATCGTGTATTCGCATATATAAATTATAATAATATACTCTAAAAGTTTTATAAATCCATGAACACCTACTATTTTTAAATTACAACAAAATAACTAAAATCGTTATTCTTTGTTTTAATAAGTAATTTCGTCCAAATTAGAACTTATAATGTCTGTAAAAATTAACTGTGTTTTTAATAGATTTTTTTGGTTACAGTATGAACTATTTATGAGAATTCTTGTTTTACATTTTCAATCTTTAGCAATAAAAGTTGAACATTTTATAAATTCTTAACTACTAAATAGTAATTTGTAAATTATCAAATTGATAAATTTTGTTAAAAATTGAACTTTAATTACTTATAAAAATGGATCTTATATGGATCTTTATTGTTTCTCAACTTCTATTATAACTACTTATGAGGTAACTTTTATTATAGGTAAACAAATAAGAAATTTTTGTATGAATATCTGACTACAAAATATTTTGAAAATTGTCAAGATTATGATGAATTTGGTAGAAATTTGAACTTTAAATACTTATAAAAAAAACGTGCCTATATATTTCTAATATTTTTTAACTGCTATTATATCAACTTACGAGGAACTTTATATTATTTTTAAGCTTTTTGACAAAACGAAAACAATTGTATTGGCATTTATAGAATACAGAAGTACAGAACTAAACACATTTCATAATTAACATGTCTACAAATCACTGAAAACGAGTCGAAATATTTTGAACATTTCATAATGTATATGATAGTTTAAACATTTAATGGACATTTTAAATACCGACGGTTAATACACACTCTTGGAGCAAGACCGCCTCTCCTTTATTTTTGTAGTTTTGAGAAAAATAAATTTAAATTTAAAATTTAACCCATGAATGTAATTTTTATTTTGTTTCAGTGATTTAAACCTTTTATTTAACATTGTTATCTGTACTTTAAACAGGTGTAGATTAGAATATTAATATCTTTTTTTATATGGAGAATTTTGCATTATGGCGGTTTTCAATTATATTTCATCATACTATACTGCCATGTTTTGAAATAGTGCAGTATTACATTGCGGTTATAAAACTATACTGCCATGATTTGAGATAATGTAATTGAAATTAATATAATACTAATTCTAAACCGCCACATACCAAATTATGGCGGTCTTCAATATTCCTTTTTGGTCACTAGTTATAAAAAAAAAAATGTTAACCGCCATAAACATAATTATGGC